TAAATAAATAATTGTTCTTTAGAAATTTAGGCCAAGATGTATTTTGCTACATCTTTGGTGAAAATAACCCAAATTAGGATGTAATTTTTAGTTTGTAGGAAAGTTATAGAGTTCACAAACTATGGTATAGATCTGAATATTGATCAATCCTGAAGTACTGACAGACAATCTAATTTCTTGAGGTCAAAGAATGTCAAACAGTACAGATATCCCCCATATGACCCCTTTTTGCAAAATAGACAGTCCGACATACTTCATAAGAGGCATGGCGAGTTTTTTTTAAGTTTTTGGTCATAATTTTTCGGAAAATGAAAAAATTCAAAAAATAATTCACAATTTTTTTTTTTTTTTTTACATACTGTCGCCAGTGCAGTACAGCGTCATCATGTAACTGGCATGGCGGTGATCAGGGACACTGATTATATATTTTAATTTTTTTTTTAATTTTTTCTTTTTTTTATATATTTTTTTTTCATATTTCACTATGACCAAAGTAGTACAATGTACTACTTTGGGGAAGTGATCAGTATTTTTTTTTTTTTTTTTTTACACAATTTGCTTATAGCAAAGAATTACTTTGCTATAAGCAAGCATTTACCCGAATTACTGATTCTTTCAGGGTTTTTTTTTGCTTTTTGTTTTGTTTTTGTGCTTAGCTGTGATTTGGCCACGGCTAATCACATGACACAGCTGGGCTGTGATTGGCCCAGCTTGTGCATGTGATCGCTATGACCATCACAGCTAGACACACTAGTATACAATGGATGGCATGAATGAAACCATCCATTGTATACAACTGTCATGTGACCTGCTGTGATTGGTCACAGCAGGTCACATGGTACCGGCAACGGGCCCGGTACTCAGATCTGTCATCGGCCGTGTCCGAGGTACACGGCCGGTGACAGATCGCACCGCTGCACGGCTCTGCGGGCATGCAAACTGCACATGCCTGAAAGGATGCCATATGGCGTCCACCCGGAGGGACGAGGGGTTTTGCAGGCCACCATCTGGCTATAGGCTGAGCGGGAACCTGTTAAATAAAAGACAGTTTTTTTGTCATGATCAGTCATATTTTCAATATCAATGCCAACATTTCATGATTTCTGCCAGGGTATGCAATCTTTTGAGCACAACTGTATGTGGAGATGATTGTAGAGACTATGATGGTGGATAATGTGTGCAGGAGCAGAGATCAGAAAGTATACAGGTGAAGAACGTGCAAGAGAGGAGCACAGAGGACATAATGGCAGGCAGCATGTGCAAGAGAGAACAGAGAAGGTTAAGACTGTAGGGAGTATGTGCCAGGCGAAACTGCAGACAGTATGACAGTGGTCAGTCTGTGCTGGAGAGTAATGTGGGGGGTATGATGGTGGCTATTATGTGTAGGAGGCAGGTAAGACAGCAGGTATTATATGTGCAATAGAGAACAGTATGACAATTTTTTTCCCTGCAGGAGCAAATTGGATCATGCATTGCTGGGTTTTTTTTGCCTTCCTCTGGATCAACTGTGGGTATAGGATAACTTTTTTATTTTTAATGGTTGAACTGGATGGACTTTTGTCTTTTTTCATCCAGACTAGCTATGTAACAGACTGTGGTGGAGGGAATGACAATAGACTGTTAACCGAAATTATAATCTCCACAGTTCTGCACATACAAACAGATATGTGAATGGCTGCACTCTGGAACTGGATATCTTTATTGAGGAATGAAAACAGCAAAAAAAGCAAGCAAACCCCATGGGGAGAGGATAAAGGGAACTTTGTTCACATCCATCAGCGCAACAAGCTGGGCTTTGCACCTGAAGACAAAGGAGCTGTGTGTGATCTGACAAGCAGGCTGACCAGGAGCAGTGTTATCTTTGTTTATGATTGCGGTCAGTTTGTGCAGGAGAGGCATGCCAGAATTTATGATGCAGAGCAGTACATAAAGGAGAGGAATGAGTAGGTATGACAAAAGGTAGTAGTCAGGTCCATAAATATTAGGACATCAACACAATTCTAACATTTTTGGCTCTATACACCACCACAATGGATTTGAAATGAAACAAACAAGATGTGCTTTAACTGCAGACTGTCAGCTTTAATTTGAGGGTATTTACATCTAAATCAGGTGAACGGTGTAGGAATTACAACAGTTTGCATATGTGCCTCCCACTTGTTAAGGAACCAAAAGTAATGGGACAGAATAATAATCATAAATAAAACTTTCACTTTTTAATACTTGGTTGCAAATCCTTTGCAGTCAATTACAGCCTGAAGTCTGGAACGCATAGACATCCCCAGACGCTGGGTTTCATCCCTGGCGATGCTCTGCCAGGCCTCTACAGCAACTATCTTCAGTTCCTGCATGTTCTTGGGGCATTTTCCCTTCAGTTTTGTATTCAGCAAGTGAAATGCATGCTCAAATCGGATTCAGGTCAAGTGATTGACTTGGCCATTGCATAAGATTCCACTTCTTTCCCTTAAAAAACGCTTTGGTTGCTTTTGCAGTATGCTTTGAGTCATTGTCCATCTGCACTGTGAAGCGGCGTCCAATGAGTTCTGAAGCATTTGGCTGAATATGAGCAGATAATATTGCCTGAAACACTTCAGAATTCATCTTGCTGCTTTTGTCAGCAGTCACATCATCAATAAATACAAGAGAACCAGTTGCATTGGCAGCCATACATGCCCACACCATGACACCACCACCACCATGCTTCACTGATGAGGTGGTATGCTTAGGATCATGAGCAGTTCCTTTCCTTCTCCATACTCTTCTCTTCCCATCACTCTGGTACAAGTTGATCTTGGTCTCATCTGTCCATAGGATGTTGTTCCAGAACTGTGAAGGCTTTTTTAGATGTCGTTTGGCAAACTCTAATCTGGTCTTCCTGTTTTTGAGGCTCACCAATGGTTTACATCTTGTGGTGAACCCTCTGTATTCACTCTGGTGAAGTCTTCTCTTGATTGTTGACTTTGACACACATACACCTACCTCCTGGAGAGTGTTCTTGATCTGGCCAACTGTTGTGAAGGGTGTTTTCTTCACCAGGGAAAGAATTCTTTGGTCATCCACCACAGTTGTTTTCCGTGGTCTTCCGGGTCTTTTGGTGTTGCTGAGCTCTCCGGTGCATTCCTTCTTTTTAAGAATGTTCCAACCAGTTGTTTTGGCCATGCCTAATGTTTTTGCTATCTCTCTGATGGGTTTGTTTTGTTTTTTCAGCCTAATGATGGCTTGCTTTACTGATAGTGACAGCTCTTTGGTTCTCATCTTGAGAGTTGACAGCAACAGATTCCAAATGCAAATAGCACACTTGAAATGAACTCTGGACCTTTTATCTGCTCATTGTAATTGGGATAATGAGGGAATAACACACACCTGGCCATGGAACAGCTGAGAAGCCAATTGTCCCATTACTTTTGGTCCCTTAATAAGTGGGAGGCACATATGCAAACTGTTGTAATTCCAACACCGTTCACCTGATTTGGATGTAAATACCCTCAAATTAAAGCTGACAGTCTGCAGTTAAAGCACATCTTGTTCGTTTCATTTCAAATCCATTGTGGTGGTGTATAGAGCCAAAAATGTTAGAATTGTGTCGATGTCCCAATATTTATGGATCTGACTGTATGTGCAGCAGAAACATGATGCTGCAAAATGTGAAGGGTATGACAACTGCCCAAATGTGAAAGAGAGAAGTGTGCTAGATATATTTACCAGAAGCTGGCCCAAATATGCAGTACAAACCTTTCCCTGTCTGAAACAAAAAATGGCTTATTTTGTCATTATAGGGAACCGATCAGGGAAAGGAATGAAAGCTGTTATTGCTAAATTGTATTTGAATGTACATGTTCTTCATCTGTTGTCCTCATTTTTCTATCACTACTTGGTAAATAAACGACCTGAAACAAGCTCGCACATTAAAGATATCAGGGCACCCGATCTACAAGTTATTGTTTCAAGTAAGTAGGATAACAGAGATGGCCTCAAAGCCATGTGCCTTTGAAAAAAGGTAAACAAAAGCATCTTCCATATTTCTAACCTGTCAAGTTCCTTTAAAATCGCATAATTCATATATCTATTTCACTGAGAATGTGAGTTGTGGTTAAGCCACCCGATGCTGTACCTGTCTGGATAAAGCTGGATTCAGAGATGTGATCATTGTGGCAGCAGGCAATGTCTAAAATAATAAAAAAAAACTGGGCACAGCTTGTACTCTTATTTATCACTGGATTCATATACTTGTATGCTCATTCGTGTCTGTTCTACTAAGTCCTATTTTAGCTTGGCATGGTTCACTGGCACAATGAAAGGCACTATTCATAAAATCCAGAACACAAAATTCCTTAAGTACCATTGTTCAGTATAAGTATGACTTTGTTGTCAGTGTAACCCCAATATATAATTATAAAGAGCTTACATACTCATTCATCCATAAAGTGACAATCTGGCTTTTGTGGATTCGATTAATCAAGTTGGAACCGGACATGGTAATGATAACGTGATATTCATTAAAGAAGAAGAGGCTTTACTTAATAATAGAAAAGTCTGTATTGATAAAGCAATGCAGCACTTACTCACACTTTATATACAGTTTACAAGTATTGCTCATGTCTGAAGCTATTTTTGTAACAGAATGTTTATCTTTATTTTGGCATTTAAAACTCAGTACAAAACCAGAAAGAATGACTTTTGTAATATATTTTAACTGGCCACGGTATCTGAGGGGCAGCAGTATATAGGCATCACTCTAACTGATGGCATGATTTCTTTATTACATGCTGGAGATCTGGAAAAATGTTGAGATTGAGACAGGCAGAAACAGAGGACAGTTGATAAACATAGAATGGATGCTATACACAAGGAAGGCCACGCAAGAGCAGATGCAGGAGAGGGTCCTCCAAGAGACAGGTCCTCCTTGTATTGCTTTGGCACAGGGGCAGCGAGTGAGAAGGCACTTGCAGTTGCTTATAGGAGCTTTCAGGGATCCATGCCTATGCAGAACAAAGGTTTCACTACGCAAACATCGTCATCTGGAGCCACTGTAAATGAAGAAAGGCAACCATTGAGGGTGATTCAAACAGGAGCATTATGCATATTAGTAGATGTAGAGGTCTGAATAATTTGAGGTATTATTTCTGAAATCTAAACATTAAGTTTTAAAGGGAAGTATAGTATACATTTAACATATACAGTATTTTGATTTATTACTGCAGCATTTGATGTAACTTATCTGCTTGCTCTTTTCTTTTAATGTTATTGTATTAAATGTAGCAATTTGTAGATTGGCCACTAGCCAATGGGTACAATATGTACTACAATGCCTACCTGCTAACACACAGAAGTTGATTTACTAACGGAGTAGAGGCAGATCATGGAAAACACTGGTTCACGTTTTAAAATAATCGAATACACAGTCATGAGCAATGAAAAAAAATTTTTTTTTCACATATCTAGAACAGACGTTTAATCTTCCCCACTTAGGTAAGGGTACAGGCTCGGTATCTTTAGTGTGAGTCGGTTCACACCATGCCTGCACATGAATCACACAGGAATGCGCTGTGTGTTCCTGTGTGATTCACACTGCATGCAAACCATACTTCATTTGCAATCTGCAATGATTGTCTATACAAATTTATTGCTACACCAGACGTTTGCCCACACATGCCCACTCCAGATCGCATGGTACTTTTGTACTATGCGATCCGGTTGCAGTGCATTTTAATGAGTAGTGCATGCACTACTTTTGGTGAGGAGTGGAGCGACTTTTTCCCATTCAAAATGAATGGGCTGAAATAGTACCACACAGAATCGCATGCGAATCACACAGGAAAGAGCGCATGCACTACTTTTCAATACACTGCAGCTGGATCGCATAGTACAGGAGTACCATGTGATCCATGTTTGCCGTATTGTTAACTATGTATAGGCACCCACTGAAGATCACAAACGGAGTGCATTTTGTAATGCGGTGTGAATCGCACAGGTACACACAGCATGTTCCTGTGCGATTCATGTGCAGGCATGGTGTGAACCAGCCCTAAGGCCTGGTTCACATCTATGCGGTTCACATCTATGGTTGTGGGACCCACAGTCAAAATGCGCAGGCTGCCATTCATTCTGAATGACACCCCCCACACGTCTAAAAATGCAGCACGTTTGCCGGAACTGCAGGGAAATCAGCCGCTACATTTTTAGAATGGTGCAGGAACCTTTTTCGTGCAGGAAATGCAGGTACAGCAGCACATTCAAGTGAATGGGCTGCTGTGCCCAAACAAACGTGTGCTGCAAATCTGCACAGATGTGAACCAGGCCCAAATCAACGTCTGAGATTTGTGTTGTGGAAAGGTACAGTAAAAAACAGTCTATATAAAGCAGGTCTGCATATATATTATGAGCAAATACTACTGAACCATGTACGTATAGTGTATATTTTTACTGACTATACATAAGAACAAAGTTTCTTCTAAACAATTAACACATATTAAGACTATTTACATACATCACATTGTGCATTTCTAACAGGGAAAACTTGGGCACTTCCTGATAGTGGTAAAGATGGCACATTTTTATTGGCTAGTGAAGCTGCCTATCATAGTGTTGAGCCAACAGGCACGTGGGTGGCCCAATGGCAAACTCCAAAACAACCCAGAGGTTTCAAAGTTTGCCTGTTAAAGCCCGTTTGATATTCAGCCATAACAGGAAGGTTTAAGAGGCTGTCGCAAATGCAGGTATATATAATAAAAGGATATCAGTTAAAGTCCGAACACTCTGCACTTATCAATGGCTAACAAAGTATAAAACTCTGCTACTGCAAGTAGAGTCTCAAAATAGTGCTACAATGGCCCAATAAAAAGAAGGTGCAAAAAGTGATACAACTGAAGAAGATTATAGAATGGCTAGTAATAAATATGAAATAAAATATTTGGTAAAGTTCAAGAACTTACAGTGAAAAGGGTGAAGTTGATGACACCATCTTTGTCTGTATCCATGGTTTGGAAAAATCCTAAGAAAGGAATGCATACTGTTACTCAAATTCAGAGCTCATACAGGGTTTAAACACTGAAAACAGAAGAATCCAGACACTTCAATTTGCACAAGTACTTATGAAGTTTATTCATTAAGTCGTCCCATCCCTGAATGATACTTTCTAAAGAATAACTGTCATTTAATTTTTGTACATGTAAAGTGAAAGAATAGAAGCGCCAAGCCATAGGAATCTGCCCAAGAATAAATGTTATTTTTCACAATAACAATCTAGCAAGATTTGACAGCCAACATGTTTGGGGGGTTATACACAAATCCTATTTCATTGGAGCTTAAATATGATACAAAACAGGGTAGTTCTCTTGTCAAATAAATGTATAAAAGCATACTAGTGGTGCACCGAAATGAAAATTCTGGTGACGAAAACTAAAATTCAAAATGCACTTGGCCGAAAACCAAAACGGGCAGTTTTTAAAAATGAATAAATATTTTTTGGAAAAAAATACACTTTGATTAAAAAAAACACAATATATACCCCAATTTTTTTTAAATATGAAACAGGCTGTTACGGTGAGTAAATAGATACCCAACATGTCACACTTTAAAATTACGCACACTCGTGGAATGGCGTGAAACTGCGGTACTTAAAAATCTCCATGGGTGATGCTCTAAAAATGTATACAGGTTAAGAGTGTAAAGTTACAGAGGAGGTCTAGTGTGAGAATGATTGCTCTTGCGCAGACGTTCGTGGCTATACCTCACGTGTGTGGTTTGAACACAGTTTACATATGTGGGCTTGGCCTACGTATGCGTTCACCACTACGTGTGAGCGCGGGGGGGGGGGGGGGGCAGGGGCAGTTTAAACTTTTTAAAAATGTATTACCTTTTTTTTTTTTTTGCACTGTCCCTTTAAAAAAAAAAAATTTGATTTGAATGCATGCATCCCTTGTGATAGATATAATTAGTGACAGGTCCCCTTTATGGAGAGATATGGGGTCAATAAGACCTCACATCTCTCCTCTACAATGTAAAGCATTAGATCAAAAAAATAATTGATCTAGTGCTTTAAAAGAATGGCCGGGACCGGAAGTGACATTGCTCTGGTCCTCCAAGGGCATAGAGATGTGTGGAGGCCATCTTTCCTAATCTCTCCAGCGCCGAATCGTTTCATGGTTTCTCAGGTAAGTCTGAGAACTACTGAGCGGTGGCGGCAGCGACGAGGGGTGGGGTTTTTTTCAGCACTTGTATCAGTGCTTTTTTTTCATATCAGCCGACGGCCAATAGAGGTGTTTTCGGCTGTAACGTTTCAGCCACTGAAATTTCAGTGCACCCCAATGCATACATTCCATTAAAATGATAAAAAAAAGATCACATTATAAGCAAAAAAAGGTCCTTATCGGCACGATTGATAAAAGTCTACTGAGTAAAAACCATAAGCCGATAAGGACATAAAATACTGTTTAACTTTAGGATTTATAAAAATGGTCTATAAAATGTATATTTTAAATTAATGGGTATTAGAAATCAGACACATTTTAATGTTTATATTTTTTTTAATATGCAATATTTTATTTTACAATATCAAAACATTTAATACATTAATATTTACATGTGTATTATTTAATATGTTATAAATTTTACATACCTATTGGTCTGAGAACCTTTACAGATTCTATAGATTTACTTATTTTATATATGTATTGGCTTACAATTATGCTCAATATACTTCTATAAATTGTGCTGATCATAACTTTTTTCATTTATCATAATGTACTCTTATGTTGTTTGGTTTTTCTTTTCATTTTATGTGATATATACAGTATAGACTACTTTTATTAAATTTCAGCTCTGATAAAAAAAAAAGATGTGTAAAACTCTTGAAATACATTGAATGTCACCTTTTGATAGACCCTTTGATTGTGACAAAAAAAAAAAAAAAACCTGGAGCGATCCCCACAGCTTAGCGCTCTGATCCTTTTACTTTACACGAAATTACATTGTTTAATTGTGGGCCTACCACTCTACAAATTTTAGTTGGTTGGCTTCATGAAGACCTAGTGGCTTCAATGCTGTCAGTCATGAACGCAGCACAAGCATGCAGATATGGAGTTCTGACTTTACTGACATGCATACTTGTCCTGGGGTCTGTGACTCCAAAATCACTGCAACCAATAGGTAAGCAAAATAGCCAGGCAACTGGCATTGCAGAAAGAAAATCAGCAATAGCTGCCTCTATAATTTAGTTTATACATGACAACATAAAAATCCTCTGATACAGATATAATGTATTACATTACAGTAGAAAATGCCTGAAATAAGAATTTAACTTACGGAACATGGTCTCCAGTCTGATCAGACAACACACAAAGCTATCGAAATTCACAGACAGATCAGGCTCAGAATATCTGGTGATAATCAGCTGATGCAAGGTGTTGCTCAGTTTGAATCCTAGGGAAAACAGTAGGTCAAATAATTATACATACAGACATTTTATATAAAGCAGAACAATTAACAGAGTACACTGATGAGGAACCAACCTGCAGACTCCACTGCCATGCGCATTTCATAGGCATTCATGCTTCCTGATTTGTCCACGTCATACTTTCTGAAAACAGTCTACCAAACCAAAAAGAGAATTATTCAGCATTTTATTGGTTACTGAATTGTTGACTAAAATGGATTTTCTCAGTAAAGTTATATTATAGTTATTTTTTAACAATTTTGGATAAAGCAGGGAAGATGCGGCTTACTGAGGGGACCACCCAAAGCCTCCGCTCCACCCTAGGGGACAAGGGGACGCTACCACCACCCCCACCCAGCGATTAGAGACCACCACCACCCAGGACTGCGGCCGCGACGAACCGGGATGCCTCCGCTCAAGCCCGTGTGGACAAGGGGACGCTACCACCACCCCCACCCCGTGAGGAGAAGCCACCACCACCGGCAAGGACAGGGTAAGCCACCACCACCAGAACGGCACCCCTGCTCCCCACCGTGTGCTACACAGCCGCCCCCCATGCCCCACCACCGCACACCCGAGAACCTGCCACGCGGCCTACCGAGGGGACAAGGAGACGCTATCACCACCCCTACCCCGCGAAGAGAGACCACCACCACCCAAAGCTGCGGTGTTTCCAGCATTGCGGCTGCGACGACCCGGGACACCTCCACTCCAGCCCGAGGGGACAAGGGGACGCTACCACCACCTCCACCCCGTGAGGAGAAGCCACCACCACCAAGGACAGGGTAAGCCACCACCACCCAAAACGGCACCCCTGCTCCCCCCTTGTGCTACACAGCACAGCCCCGTGCCCCGTCACGCGGCCTACAGCACCCACAGACACTGGGCCCTACAACACCTACAGGCGCCGGACCCTGACACTCACACCCACGCTGGGCCCTGGGACCCCACCACCCTGGGACCTCCACCTGAACCCTAAACCCTGCCAAGCAAGTCTCCGCAAGAGCACACGCAAATTACAGCCACACAACACTCCTGATCCGATCACCCAGACACCACTCATGCCGACAACAACCCAGCTCGACCCAAGGACAAGTAACAGCCGCAGATCACTCCAGATCAGTCCACCCAGAGACCACTCACACCAACCCCCAGCTCAGCTTGACTTAAAGACTAGAACCCTAGATGCAAGACACCACAACGAAAGACCCCACTGCACGCCAGACTGTCTCCAATCAAGCGCCCCTGGAAACCATCCATCCACACCCGATCCCCTCTCCCTACTCCCCTAAACTCCAGCCACCAGAAGACACAGCGACGAGATACGCCACTGCACGCTAGACTATTGACAGCCAAGCCTCCCACCACTCCTATCCACCACCCCGTGCACCTCCCTAAAATGCCTCTTCCACTCCTCCTTTGCATATTCCTCTCCTCCGTTCCCAAAATCTACTCTCTATATCCCTCTGCCCCTCCCAAACAACTGTATATTGCGTCCTCACTGCTTCCTTCGCCCCTCTATGGCATCCACCACCTCCTTCTAATACTCCACTCTCCCACTGACCCGAACACCTCCACTGGTAGAGTTACACGCTCCTGCACATCCCACTCCCATGCCACCTTTCTCACCCTTCTCCTCCTCCTAACGCGGGGGACATCTCCCCGAACCCTGGCCCTCCACCACAGCGCTCACCCACACAGCACCCTCCCGCTTCCACGTCCTGCCGCAACCCCCGCAACTTAGTATCTGTCCCCCTGCTCCCTAAAATCACCCCCCCCGGTTTTCGTGCGCACTCCTGAACGCCCAATCGGTGTGCAACAAGCTCACCGCCATCCACGACCTCTTTGTTTCCCGCTCCCTCAACCTCCTAGCGATCACGGAAACCTGGATCCAGGCCACTGATTCTACCTCCGTTGCTGCACTCTCCTACGGAGGTCTCACTTGGACCCACTCACCCAGACCCAACAGTCGTAAATGTGGTGGGGTTGATCTGCTCCTGTCACCGCAGAACACCTTCCGAGTCCTCCCAAACCCCCCCACTCTATCCTTCTCCTCCTTCGAAGCCCACTGCATCCGACTATTCTCCCCAACCCCCCTAAAGGTTGCCATAATCTACCGGCCTCCTGGACCCGTATCTCACTTCCTGGATGATTTTTCCTCCTGGTTACCCTTCTTTCTCTCCTCCGATCTACCCACCATCATCCTTGGGGATTTCAACATCCCTGTCAACATTGACAACCTGGCCACATCCCAACTTTTCCACTTAACCTCCTCCTTTGCACTTGCACAGTGCACACAATCCACCACCCACTCCGATGGAAACATCCTGGACCTTGCCTTCTCCAACCGCTGCGCTCCCCACAACTTCACTAACACCCCCTTCCCTCTCTCTGACCACAACCTTATTACCTTCTCTATCTTATCGTCCACTAACTCCGACCCTTCCAAATGTCATACTACTACCAGCCATAACCTCCGCAACCTGAACCCTGCCCCCCTCCACTTTGCAGCTGATCAACTCCATGACAGCATCCTCCCCGTCCTGCCCCGACTTGGCTATGACTGCCTATAACGCACTGTCAACAGCCCTTGACTCACTAGCGCCTTTAACCACACGAAACATCAGACCCCGACCACTCCAGTCCTGGCAGACTGATCACACCAAAACTCTCAAACGACACAGTCGTGCCCTGGAGTGACTATGGTGCAAAACCAGATCCCAACAAGCCTTCACCCGCTATAAATCTGCCTTCCACACCTACACCTTCTCCCTCCACGCCACCAAACAAGCCTACTTCCTGACCCTCATCAAGACCCTCTCCTCCAATCCCCGCCGACTCTTCTCCAGCTTTAACTCTCTACTCTCTCCGCCCCCACCTCCACCTCACACACCGCCCTTGAGATTGCCAATCACTTCAAAAACAAGATTGACACAATTCGCAAGGACATCGCCACAGCGCACACTCTCTCCAAACCCGTCCCCTCTCACACAACTACCCCCTCATCACCCCTCTCCCTCGACACAACCTGCAGGGACTTCGTCGCTGCTCAAACTCCCTCCAACCCCGTCCCCTCTCACACAGCTACCCCCTCATCACCCCTCTCCCACGGCCCCACAGCTGCTCTGACCTCCACCTCCACCCCACCCAACATTCCTCACACTGAAGCCCCCTCAACACTCCACACCTTCGACCCTACTACCATCGAGAAAGTCTCCAAGGTCTTCTCTGATGCCCGCCCCACCACCTGCCCCCTCGACCCTATCCCCTCACAACTCCTATGACCTCCCTCCCCCTCCATCCTACGCTCCCTCACCCACATCTTTAATCTCACCCTCTCTTCCGGGGCATTCTCCTCCCCTCTGAAGCATGCAGACATCACCCCCATACTTAAAAAGCCCACCCTGGACCCCAACGACCTGAACAACCTCAGACCCATCTCCCTGCTCCCATTCACATCCAAATTCCTCGAGCGCTTAGTCTACACACGCCTAAGCTCTCACCTCAACGACAACAACCTCCTCGATCCACTACAGTCCGGCTTCCGTTCCCTACACTCCACCGAAATCGCCTTACTCAAACTCTCCAACGACCTTCTAACCGCCAAAGCTAATGGCCACTATTCAGTGCTCCTACTCCTTGAACTCTCCGCAGCCTTCGACACAGTCGACCACCCCCTCCTCCTCAAAAAACTACACTCCCTCAGCCTCAGAGATTCCGCTCTCTCCTGGCTCTCAGCCTACCTATCACAACGCTCTTTCAGCGTTACCTATAACGCTACCACCTCCCCCTCACTCCCCCTCTCTGTTGGGGTCCCTCAAGGCTCCGTCCTCGGGCCCCTTCTCTTCTCCATCTACACCTCCCCCCTTGGCAAAGGCACACACTCTCACGGCTTCTACCACCTCTATGCCGACGACACACAAATCTATCTCTCAACCCCCCACCTCACCCCCTCAGTCTCAGCCCGAATCACAAACCTACTATACGACATATCAGACTGGATGTCGCTCCACTTCCTTAAACTGAACCTCTCCAAAACCGAGCTCCTAGTCTTCCCCCCAGCCTGCACACCACCCCCCATTGACTTCTCCATCACGTCCAACAATACCACTCTCAGACCCGCCCAGCAGGCCAGAGTACTTGGTGTCACTCTGGACTCCAACCTATCCTTCCAGCCCCAAGTCCAATCATTAACAAACTCATGCAGACTCCACCTCTGCAACATCGCCAAAATCCGCACGTTCCTAACCCCAGAAACCACTAAACAGCTCATCGACTCCCTCATCATATCACGACTCGATTTTTTTCATTATTCTATGTGACCCCGTTAAAGAGATTTCGCCTTACTTTCAACTGTGAATTGCGTTGAGTGTCCCCTGGCAATGAGGCAATGAACAGCAGGTTGGAAAATTCTCCACAATGGGGATAAAGCAACAATAACCTCTTGGAGGATCTAAGCTTTTCCTGCTCCCCAAACAAGTTTGGCAGTTGTACAGCTCTGGAAAATCAAGAGCTAATCTCTTTGCATAATGTTTGTCATTTTACATTGCAGAAGATATAATGGGAGGGGAAGTAACCCAAGGTGGACAGAACACCCAAAACTCCATACTGTATCTTTTGTGGACTTCCAGTGGCAAGATCTCCTTGCCATAATTCAAGTCTTTGTTCCTATCCACCTTGAAGAGCAATTTCTTCCCATTAGCTAACTCTTTGTATCTCCTGCACAGTGAGACAACCCTGCATCTCTGCCCATTCCTTATGCAGTCTCCAAACAAACAGAATAAGCCAAGTTCCCAGTAAATACCCAAAAATTAAACATTAGTTTTCTATAGACCTACCAGATAATGTTTAATTTTATTCCACAGGATATTAAACTCCAACATTCCAAGTTTTCCATTCCCATCTTTCTGTGGCATGAGTTAAGGACAATATTCCACCATCTGAGACATCTAAGTTCAGAGAATCCTGCCCAATGTCAATTTTTATTTGCCATATAAAGCTGTGAATAAGAACTTTGAAGTCCAACACCATGGCAACACTATCTGTTATTTGATCATAGAAAACAAATACATTGTTTGCCTAAGAAAATAATTAGGAATGGTGCATGGTTTATAAAATTCTTACAGAGGTTTGTTTTCTGCTGAAGCGAAGATAAGAGGAACGATAAAGCAGGACAGAGCAACAGAGACGTGGAAGTGTGCAGTAACCCACTGCTATGGGGGACCACACTCTGTACATCATGGATGACATTTGTACTAATTATAGAATTGCATGAACTATATTTCATCTATAGAGGACATTGGAGACATTGCTGACTGCTCTGTTGATTTCTTTAGCAATGTTACTGCAGTGAAAGGAAGGCAACGGTACAGTACCAAATATTGGTGGGGGGTGGTGGGGGAGGGGACATGTTGAAGTGCCTTAAAATGATCAACACCTAATACTCAATAGATCAGAGTAACAATGAATATACAGATGATGGCAAAAAAAGGATTATACAATCTCTTAAATTTAAACAGGATTGTGCAGAAATATTCAAGTGTGTGGACTCAAACTGGTCTGAATGTAATCAAGAAAAAGTGAAAGAAAATTTTAAACAATTATTAGGTGAGTTTTATTAAGCTCTATGCAAATTCAAGAACTGGCCGCACATGTTACAATCATTTTACTCAAATTTGCTTTGAGGTTGGATTCACACTCTGTTCCATGTGCGTTTCTGCTTGCATGGCAACACACATGTGCAGGTGTGAATGGGCCCATATAGCAGTTTTTCTTTCAGACTAAATATCAGCACATTGATGTGAACCAGCCCCTTAGAAAGAATTCCATGTGTAAAGCATCTACATGTAGCAAAATGTGTAGGTTTTACAGCATGAATTAGGACAAGTGTGAAGAGGCCCAAAAACATGCACGGAGACCCCAGTTGATCACATGTATTGTACAGGACCCCAGCGCTAGGTCGTAAATATCAGGTATATTTCTCCACTATTTGGGTTGTGGTCTCTTGAATTAGAACAGTTTGAAGGTAATGTTGCATACTCAGGCATGCGGTGTCATGGGTTCCAGCTAGTTTAGCTAGAGAGAAGAGGACAGATTTGCAGTACTCTCTGTATTGTTAAGTCCTTATTGGGAACCTGGAATTTTGGAGGTTTGAAGAGTTTTGGGAGGGAAGAAACTCCACACCTGATTACAGGGTCCTGAAGGAGTTACCTCAGATGCCTCAAAGTCCAGAAAAGGAAGAGGAAACAATGGCACCTGGCAATCAGAGAGAAAGCTTGAAACACCTGAATGAGCAAAATGAACTAAGCTTGGGATTGAGTCAGGGTTGTTGACTGTGAAAGCCACCTCTTTGGGAACCCTGGAGCAGATGGGAAACCCCAAAAACCTCAATGTGAGACCGGTAGGGTGGCAGTATGCCATTATCTTGTTTTGTCCCATTGAACCAGAGTTATGGACTGTTTTGTGTTCTTCTTGCTGAATTAAGCCATTTTGTTTTTGACAGTTTGCATATTCCAATATGCTGTTTCCATATTTCTGTTACATGAGAGACATTGTGGTTATAAACAGGTTTTATATCCAGTTTACAATATGCAGACTGAGTATAAATGCGGGGTTTTAATTATTTATTAGGGAGGTGGTACACATCATAATGAGGGTGGAAGTATATTTTTGTCAGCATGGCAAGCATTGGCATGGGGAACCTGTCAGCAGGCTTTCCTGAAGACAGAGGCTCGCTTGCCACACATGTGTGGGTATACAGTAAGCTGTGCACCATCAGTCTCTGAGACCCTGAAAAAGTCTGAGTGATGTATAGCATAGGGTGGAGATGGATGATGCACTAGCCGGAAGTGATGCCTGTATCCAAACTTGCATGATTTGCCTGCATGTCAGTAGCTGGGCAAACAGAACGGTGTTGACTAGAGAGGCATTTACATTAAGCAGTTAATGTGCGCATGCTAAGAGTTCACCCTACTTGTGTGTTTCTTTTTATCATTATTTTAATACAAGTTATAGTTTGATACTATGTGCTCCTCGGTTTTATTTTCCTGAGTAATGGGTGGGATATACCTGGAGAGGCAGCATTAATAAGAGAGGTGTAAATATCCACCCTTAAAAGGGAACAAGCATATTTGTCCTATCTAATATACAATGTTTTTTTTAATCACCAACACCAGTGAAATTGGATTTGATCGCGGAGGACTGTTTAATATACCCTTTTTTTCTAAATATCTTTTTTTTTGTTGGGATAAAGACTGCGCTGTAATTGTAAATAATATTATTAGAGGGTTGATGCTATTTATATTTACACTGGTATTCTTTTTATGGTTATAGTTTTTTTTATTATCCAAACAAATTTTATTGGAAAATAAACAACAAATACAGGTAAAGTACTTCAGCGTACAATTAGGGCATACATCAGGGGGGTTTTCAATATAGCTGATAAACAGAACATGGTACAAATTATTCTTTCGATGCCACATCAACTTTCTGAAAGCAACAGATAAACAAGGAAAACATATGTCGTCGAGCACGTTACAGAAGACCCTCAAAAAGTGTGAGGGCCTGGAAGCCTCTCGATCCTGGAAACTGCATTTTACACTTTCCAGCTAGCGGAGGTATCAACTACAACAGGGTGATAGCATGTTCAACTATTTGCACAGTGGCCAGTGCTGTCCTCCAATTATTTAGCTAGTCCGGTGATCTGGGGACTCCAGAAAGCAGAGAAGGGGGGAAAAAAAGAGGGGGGGGGGGGATAGGGAGAGCCAAAAGAAGCAGGGGTACAGAAAGAGTGCTTTAGGAGAGGGGAGGGAGCTGTGCCAAAGGGATGGACCAGGGCTCATAATAAACATTTACATTTATAAGGGGTAGGTGGGGGTGAACCTTCCCCTGCTCCTTAGTATGGGCTTCGTGATATGTAGTCTTGCAAGTACAAGGGTGGAAGGGATGGAGAACTGATGGTTCATTGTGTGGGTTCTGCACATGGGGTACTGTGCTGGAGACGGTCGATTAGGGGTATAGTTATAGTTTTTTCTAAATCAGAATTTATTGTGTACCGATTAATTGGCTATACTTACTGCATAGTGATTATTGTATATGGCATAATCACAATGTAAAAAGCAGACCTATATATTAAGTCCTCGTGTAGCATGAGGATATGCATGAGAAGCAAGAGGCAATGCAAGTAATAGAGCAACATGAAACAACATACTATATGCAGCAAAGTGGCATAAGGCACTATGAGTACGACGGCAGTGTGTGTAACACAGACAGATACAATTTGTAATAAAGAGGTATAAGGTACTGTGTGGAACATAGACATACGAGTCACAGTGTTGAGCTACTATGCATGAGGCAGTGTGTGGCATTACAGCACCATATGTAGCAGAGGTGTAAGGCACTGCGTGCAATAAAGAGGTGTAAGGCACTGTCTGTTATTGAAAGTCCAAGGCATTGTGTGTAACAGAGACAAATGAGGCACTGCATGTAACATAGATGTATGCAACATTGTGTAATAGAGAGGTATGAGTCATTGCATTTCATAAAGAGGTAAGAGGAACTGTGCGTAACACAGAGGTATAAAGCATTGTGTCTAACACATGGGTATGAAGCCATGTGTGTAAGGGAAAGATTAGGTATTCTGAGTAACAGGGAGTTATGAGACACTGTCAGAAATGTATGATGCACTATGTTTAGTAGAAAAGGTATGAAAAATATTATCTTTAGATATACAATGCCTCACTGGAATCATGGCAGACTGCTCTTCCTTGCAAACTCCACCGAATATTGCAAATAAAACTTCCTTTAATAGAAGCAATAAATATAAATTGCACTTACAAAGTTGCAACTTGATCAGAGCATGTAGCCAGGTAAATGAACTTCCATTGGATATACCATAGACATGCATTATTACTTCTGGAAACCCAGCAACAGGAGGGATATAATGTAGGTATGAAGGCTGTAAATGACACTGAGCACACCAGGGGTTAAAAAAAAAAGTCATCCATAGTCTCTGATGAAGGGGCAGAGTCCTGAAACACGTAAGTGGGGTGACTATATTCCAGGCTGAAAAATTAGTCTTGTGCTGGGTTTACAGAAATGATGGTTTTTTTCACCTGTATGGTGACCTGGCATGCAATGGCGGAAGATTTGCCTGGTTACATTCTCTGATGAATTTGCAACTCTGTAAATGCATTTTATCGCATTTTATTGATCACAGGGTGTTTTATCTGCACCATCCAAGGTTCTCCGTTTTCTTCTAGCGTTTTGTACAGCAGAGAGGTATGAGACACTGCGTGTAAGTATAAGACTGGTGGGTTGATTTACTAAAACTGGAGAGTGCAAAATCTGGTGTAACTGTGCCAATCAGCTTCTAACGTCAGCTTGTTCAATTAAGCTTTGACAAAAAAAAAAACCTCACAGCTGATTGATTTCTATGCAGAGCTGCACCCGATTTTGCACTCTCCAGTTTTAGTAAATCAACCCCATTGTGTGTAAGAAAAGAGTATGAGGCCCTGTGTGTAAGGGAGATTTGTAATGTATTAAAAGTAATAAGGTTTTATAAGAGACACTGTGTGTAATAGAAAGATAGTACATACTGTAAATAATAAAGAGGTCTAGAACATTGTGTATAACAGAAAGGTATGTAAAACCCCTCAGCTGATATAGACACAATAATATGAGAGGAGTGAGAAAGCAAAGCCAGCAAATCACATAAATGTGCTGCCTGACCAATCACAGCTCTCAACATTGGGAGGTAAAGAGAGAGAAATCAGTGGAGTAGCAGGATTTGTTGCTGTGAACTAATTCTCTTGTGGACATAAGTAAGAAGGTTCCATCCGTTGGGATGTGTAATGTTCTAGGGCAGGGGTAAGTGCCATTAAAGGGGCATCAGTTCTTCCTCCATATTAGGACAGGACATTTATGTAGGATTGACTAGAGTATGCTGTGGTGGATTTAACTGGTGGCATGGATACTGGGGGGTTAAGCTTTGGATACTGAAGGGCAGATCTTCCTAACATCACGAACACCGAGGTGTGAGCTGTTGGTGCTGGACTGCAAAAACCACTGGTGACAGGAATACTGGCGTGTGCGTGGTAATTGCTAAAGTGCAGATGTCACTGGTGTCATGAATACAGGGGAGCAAGGTGAGTGCTGGAGTGCAGATCTAGTAGGTTTCATGTATACTGGGAAGTGAAATGTCTGCTGGAGTGCAGATCTCACTGGTGTAATGGATACTGGAAAGTGAAAGGTTTGATGGAGTGCAGCTCTCATTGGTGTCATGGATACTGGGGAGTGAGGTGTGTTCTGGAGTTTAGATCTCACTGGTGTCAAGGATACTGGGAAGTGAAGTATGGTGCTGAAGTGCAGATCTAGTAGGTTTTGTGTACAATGGGATGTGAAATGCATGCTGTAGTGCAATTCTCCCTGGTCATGGATACAGGGAAGTGAAATGAAATGTGTGTCAAAGTACAGATCTCACTGGTATCATGGATACCGAGGAGTGAAGTGTGTGTTGGAGTGCAGATTTAGTTGGTGTCATGGATATTGTGAAGTGTGTGTGTGTGTGTGTGTGCGCTGAAGTGCAGATCTCACTGGCATCATGTATACTGGGGAGAAAAGTGTGTGCTGGAGTGCAAATCTCACTAGAGGCATAGATACTGGAGAGTTACGTCTGTATGTTGGGCTCAGTTCTCCTTGAGACTTTGAATACTGGAAAGGCAGCTCAGTGTAATGGGATGCAGATCTAACTGGTCTTTCCTCCTACACTCTGCTTCCTTTATGCATCTCTATAAACCACTGTTCATCTTTTCATCACAGCTTTTGACATGTAATGGCAGTATACTGTAGGCATACAAATTGTTATAAAGATTGTATAACACTGACACTAACACAGTATATGATAGCTAAAGGACATTTCATTAAACCTGTATGTGAAAGGATACATCCATGAGATTCACCATACTGCGACTAGACTCCAAGCTAAATCCTTTAGTGCGAAGGTCTTTATCTGCATTGGATAAAAATTAGATTACAATTACTGCTCTGTTACTGAGCCAAGACTAAAATAAAACGGCCAACCTTAATGACTGCTTCAAGCAAGCACAGTACTATGCAATCCCACTTACTGCAGTGTACCCTTCTTTCTCCAGTATCATAAAACGTTCCCTAACCACTTACCCACCAATTTTTCACTTACGTTATCTGCATTTTTTGCTAGAAAATTTGAAACTAAACATAATATAATATCTGTGCAAAAGTTTATCAAACACATATTTTTAGAAAAATTACAATAAAATAAATTTTAATGCAAATACAATATAAGACAACTTTCTGTTGTAAAATATTAAAGATGGGATTGAGTTGAGTAAATGCATACCAAATATGTCAAGCCTTGAAAATATGCACACCGGTGAAATTGCAGAAAACACTGGTACCCAAAACTGTCCTTTACAACACACAGTCATTCAATGTGGTGTACTGCAATTACAAAGAGTGTTAGCAGCTCATTTCAATGAATAGGCTGCTTTAGCTCATTGCACATTAGCAACATAATTGTTACCATTGCAGATGTGCAACCCAGTCTAATTGTTTTTATCATTTATTTTATGGAGAATGCAACGAGAAACAATAAATAACCAGAGGTGGAAAGAAACACCCAGCACTTGTAGGTGACAGGAGCAAAAGTCAGGAATTCTGGCAGGGAGATTTCACTGTTTTAGTATCAAAGACATAGGAACCAGGGGCAGACTGAGCCCACCAGGCACTTTTTGTATAACTAAAATATTCAAGGAGCTTTCACTTTTGCTCTTGTTGTGTCTGACACTAATCAAATAGACAGGAAGAGTGATTGTTCTTTACTTCCTTTACTGTCTGACACTCATCAGACAAACTGATGTGAAATCCTAAATGGGGACACAGACAATACAAAGTTGACATGGATTCTAACCCTTCCCCATATCCAAAAAATTTAAAGCACACATGTTAAGCTGGCAATAGATGGATAGAATTTCAAAGGAAAATTCATAGGAAAAGTCTTAGCATAGATCCTGCATGTGTATGTAAACAGCAATTACATCACACATATGAGGTATCGCCACAAATGCTGTAGTGAGAGCAATAATACTAGAGCCATATTTCATGGTTAACTTGAAACGGATAACCTGTAAAAGCTTTTAGCATCACCTATGCAAACTTCTAGGTACTGCTGTTTGTTGCCATTTGACATGTTTGGTATACATTTAGTTGGCACAACCCCATCTATTAAATTCTACCAGAAAATGAGTATTATATTGTGTTTGTGTGCACGAAAATTTATTTTAGTGTATTCTTTTCAGAAAATATACAGTACTTTGCAAAAGTCTTAGACCAGTATGAAAAAATGCTGTAAATTTGCCTTCAAAACGGCATCAATTCTTCTAGGTACACTTGCACAGACTTTTTGAAGGAACTCAGCAGGTAGGTTGTTTCAACATCTTGGAGAATGAACCACAGATCTTCTATGGATGTAGGCTGCCTCAAATCCTTCTGTCTCTTCATGTATTCCCAGACAGACTTGATGAGAATGGTACAATAATGAGTGTCTGCAGGTAACAGTGAAGCAAGGTGGAGGTTCCTTGCGAGTTTGGGGCTGCATTTCTGCAAATAGAGTTGGTCAGGATCAATAGTGTCCTCTATGCAGAGAAATACAGGCAGATACTTGTACTCTCAAAGAGCCCTGATCTCAATATCATCAAATCTGTCTGGGACACGAAGAGACAGAAGGATTTGAGGCAGCCTACATCCAAAGACGATCTGTGGGTAGTTCACAGAAATGTTTGGAACAACCTACCTGCCGAGTTCCTTAAAAAAAATTAAAAAAATAAAAAACTGTGTGCAAGTGTACCTAGAAGAATTGATGCAGTTTTGAAGGCAAAGGGTGGTCACACAAAATATTGATTTGGATTTCTCTTCTGTTCATTTACTTTCCATTTTTTTAGTTGATAAAAATAAACTGTCAACACTTCTATTTCTGAAAACATTCTTCATATACAGCATTTTTTTTTACTGTACATTTGATAAATGACTGTGCAAATATCATGCGACATAAAATAGTAATGGCCCCCCTTTTTTTCTCTAGGGCCTCTACATTCAGAAAATACATCTTTTTCTCAGCAAAAAATGCTCAGTTTAACATGTTTGAAAAATGTCCCCACACCCTTTAAACACTGGTGGCTACGACAGCGCTTCATAGTTAAATGAAAGCGCGCTCCGATTACTGTATTGCATATTTATGTATTCCTATAGTTTTGTCCACTGGGATCTTTGTGTTGGTTGCAGTTTTAGACTCCTCCCTGTATGGTCCAGTGCTTTGACACCAGTTTACCTACCTCTGCTTGGGAATGGGATGGAGTTGCCCCCACTGGGGATGTGAAGGTGGTCTTGAATTTTTACTAATGTGGCAAGGCTCACTCTGTAAACCAAGGATTCAAATTGAATGCTTTTGTGGGGAAATTTTGAATGGTGCTACTTTTATTACTTAATGTTATGTATTACAGATACCCCCATGACATGTCCCTGAAGAAGCAGAGTTCCTGGCTGTGAAACACATCGGGCTTAGGCTTATGAAGTCATGCAACATTACAAGGAGAGTGAATATCCAGAATTTGGACACTGTATGGACATTTCTTGCCAGATTGCAGTGACTGTAAAACCTGCAGCTATGTGATTTAAGTCATGGAAAAAACGCAAAGTATTTCCTATGTTGTTTTAATAATCACCTGTGACAAAAACAAATGTGTATATTTTAACTTTCTTAATTGTATTTTACTGTATGTGTTATTATGATGCCTTAAAAGTCCCTTTTCTGGAGTATCTCTTGTTCCCACTCTTTGCATAGTCTGTATATTGGGATTTGGTTAACCAAGTTATTACCCCCAAGACATGGTCCTGTTTGTTCTACTGTACTGCACAGTTTGGTGATTCTTCACAGATCTACAGGATGCTTTTTCAAAGGTATTACTGATATGTTAATTACCAAAATGCAAACATTTGAGTGCAAACTCTATGGAGATACTTACGTTTGGATATAATTTTGTTTAATATGGTCTGTAGCTCCCCAACGCTAACCTCCATGTCCTGTGTAATAAGATCAAAGGTGTCAATAGGAAGCAACAACTACATGCATACAGCTGGCTATACAGATCAGGGTGTGACTACAAGCGGTGCAGAAGTCAGAGCTCGAAACTATGAGGCAGGGATTTTCAGAAGCACCAATTTGGTGTTGCTTTGTTGGAGCTTTTGTGATCATCCCAGTGGAAAAAAAAAGCTAAATACTTTTGGCAATGAGAGGGTAAGTAATGAATAAAAGGGGTTCACTAACTGATCCTGGGCAGGTGACCGTTAGGTACTGTCCCTGCCATTCCAACCCTTCATCTGGAGTGCTAAGCCCCCATATGTGAAGCTGCACATGGAACTTTTATAGCAGTGATGGCGAACCTATGGCACGCATGCCAGAGCTGGCATGCAGAGCCATCTCAGTGGGCACGCCAGGAAGAAGAGGAAGATGAGCGCACATGGACCACGCACACTGACCGGCCATCCAGATCTCTTCCACACTGGACCCCCATCAAACTACATCTCCCACATGTCTCTGGGGCCAGGGTGGGTGTGGACGAGAGGAAACGGCTCCTATGCGGATCTGGCACCAGGGGTGATGTAGCCGGGGATGGGCGTGGAAAAGAGGAAGAGGCTCCCACACTGCTCCGGGGCCAGGGGCAACGTGTTCAGCGTGGATGGGAATGAGCTGCTGGGTTGGAAGCCACACCGACACTGTCAGAGGTGAGATTAACTGCTTGCCAACCATGCTATAGCCAAAAGATGGCTACAGCGTGGTTGTCTAGTTCTGGGAGGGCGTCCCAGAACGCGAACCCAGTGGCACACACCCTGCGCTGCTGGTGATCGCTGTGTCCTACAAATACAGCTGATCACGTGATAAGGTAAAAGGCCAATCACAGCAGGCTTTTACCACGTGATCAACTGTATCCAATGACACAGCTGATCACAATGTAAATACAGTTGCTGGTTATCAGCTGCACGCTGTCACAGATTGAAGAAAGTACTGCAGATAACCGGCAAATGTGACAGGGGAGATCTGCACTAATAATCAGGGCATTGATTATCATTTCCATTCAGCAGTGCCCAGCAATGCCGCCCAGCAGTGTCATCCATCAGTGCCCAGAAGTGTCACCCATCAGTGCCCAGCAGTGTTGCCTGTCAGTGCTGCCCAGCAGTGCCACCTGTCAGTGCTGCCCAGCAGTGCCACCTGTCATTGCCCAGCGGTGTCGCCCACCAGTGCTGCCCAGCAGTGCCACCCATCAATGATGCCCAGCAGTGCCGCCGATCAGTGCCGCCTGTCAGTGCCTCCAGTTGGTGCTATCAGTCAGTGCCGCTTATCAGTGCCCATCATTTCCTGCATATCAGTGCATCATCAGTGCCTCCTCATCAATGCCCAACAGTGCTACCGATCTGTGCCGCCTCATGAATGCCCATCAGTGCTGCCTATCAGTGCAGCCTCACCAACGCACATCAAAGAAGAAATATTACCTGTTTGCAAAATTTTATAATAGAAGCAAAGAAAACCTTTTATGTTTTTAATTTTTTGCTCTTTTTTCATTTATAGTGCAAAAAATAAAATACCCAGTGGCAATTAAATACCACCAAAAAAAAGCTCTATTTGTGTGAAAAAAATGATAAAAATTGCATATGGTTACAGTGTTGCATGACCGCACAATTGTCATTGTCAAGTGCAACAGCACTGAAAGCTGAAAATTGTCCTGGGCAAGAAGGGGGTAGAAGTGCCTGGTAGGCAAGTGGTTAATTGCAGTGTTGGCACTTTGAAATAAAAAAGTTGGTTTTGTGTTGCAGTTTTGGGCACTCGGGCTCAAAAAGGTTCGCCATCACTGTTATATAGCTACATGTCCTGCACTGATCCCTGCCAGCTCTCATCTTGAGTCCATCTCAGTAGCTTGTATGTGACATCATATACAAGTGTCTAGGATAGATGAGAGAGGAGGGCCAATGGGGATATGCAAATCAGAAAAAGTAGCTATGCATCACTGCTGTTTCCCTAGGGGGAAAAAAAAAAAAAAAAAAAAAATCACACTCTGCTCTACAAACTACTGACCACAGTACTCTGCCCTAAAGTTTACCTACCCCCCTACTCTGCCCTACATGCTACTGACCCCGTTACTCTGCCAAACAAGTCAGCATGCAGTTCTGCCTATATCTCTTGTTGGGGCCTTGCGTGTTAATCTCTTAAAGTGGTTGTAAACCCTTACATATACCCACTGAAGTGACTGGCCTCAGGTGATACACAGAGATTAAACAAATCCTCCTACATATGTTGTACCCATTTATCTTCTCTACATCCACTTGAAGTCAAGAATTTATAAAGCTTGTCTAGGCTGTCAGAAAACAAGGAGCGAAGAGTGGAAATTACACTCTGCAGAGCTCAGTGAGGAAAGCTCTGAGAGATGATTGGAGGGAAGGGGCACACCCCACTCCACAGAGCACATAGGAACAGAGCTGAGGCTGTCAATCTGCTGGAGATCCCTCCCATGTCACAATTTTTTCTCTTGGTGTAAGGAAAACTCATCAGAAGCATCTCCTGCAGACAGCAGAGGAATGGGGCAGCAGACAGAAATGACATTTAGTGCTCTGGATAGAGACAAGTACACACTATAGAGGGATATGTTTAGTTCATATTTCATGTCTGAAGTTTACAACCACGTTAAAGGAAAAAAAAAAAAAAAAAGTGCCTCGCCCTGGTGATCTTTGATCTCCTCTATGTTGTTCAGGTAGATCTCTACGTATGATTTCATTTACAGGAGAGGTAAAAGTGATAAATAACAAACATGGTATACTTACCTGCTCTGTGCAGTGGTTTTGCAGAGCAACTCTGATCCTTCTCTTCTCGGTCCCCTGCCAGTGCTTCTGGCCCCTCCTCCTGCTGAGTGCCCACAGAGCAAGCTGCTTGCTCCCATGCCGGCTCTGTGTGTCCCTAATAGCTCCCACTGCGGTGTCTCAGTCAATGAGGAGAGTCGAGATCTAATGGTGTCCATGCTAGGATGGGTCAGGGCTGTTTTTTGACAGCAAAATGGGGTGTTTTTGAGGCAAAAGGGGGGCCTACTCCATATTCGGTAGGTCAGCCATTATAACGGTTGATCGTTGTATACTCCAACAAAACATGCCGCTTTGTAATATAAATTCTTATAGTATACATACCGCACCAGCAAGTTGTTTGAAAAGGTTTTTAAATCCTTCATCAAGGTCTGCTTCAGTTACAGCTTGCTGGAAACACACAAAAATGCCCAAGTATTAAAAAGGCATAAAGCTTCCATATGTCATTTTAACACATTAAATGATCTTGGCACAGGATTAAGGGCAAAATGGTGGCACATCTAAAGGACATTTAGCATGAATTTCCCATCAGTGTTTAATTCCACTCACATGTCATTTACTGGGCAGTCCTGCATTTGTATAAATGTTACATAATCTATAGTGTAGAATGTCTACCATCTGCTGGACATGAGTTGAAATAGCAGAATAGAAATAACTGGCAGAATGGAATTTGATGACAACTCTGCACTGTCCAGTTTTCCAATTGCAGGTGCAGTACATAGTTAATAAAGGCCATCATTTCCTCCTATTGTTACTTAGGTTGAAAAAAAAAGCACATGTCCACCGAGTTCAACAGACAGAAAAATGGATAAACAAATAAATCAAGATCCTGCATCCACAGAACCCATTCCCCACAACCGATCAAGAGGAACGCAAAAACCCTTATGAAGCATTGTTCAATTTGCTTTAAGTGGGAAAAATATCCAATTGCCTTCTAGATCCTTCCTGATCCCATAAGGCACTTGGATATCCCTGGATCAACAATCTGCGGTGTTATTACTTACAAATATCAATAACCAGTTCTATTCTGCGCATTCAGACACATATCCAGCTATTTATTTTAAACAGTACACACCAGCTGGCTAGAACTAGCTCCTGTGGAAGTGTATTCCAAATGTTTACAGCTCTTAGGTCTCTTGCACATGGAAGCCTAAAAATGCCACATTTTAGGCATTCAGGCATTTTCTTTAACCCCTTTGTGCCAGCGCCTCCAAACCCTTTAAAGGGTTTGTGATGCCGAGAAGTGGGGTTTAGGGTCATGTGACCGCCGTGATTGGCTGTCACAGCGGTAACACGATTGGAAAGGTCCCGATCGCAAGGTTCTTTCCATGAGGCGCCAGTAAATGTGCCAGGAGCGCACAAGGCGCATGCTCTTGGCACACGTTTACTTTTGGTACGTAAATATGTGGGATGTTCGGTGTCAAGGCCCCACTGCCGAGAGCCTGCATATTTGCGTACTGTCAGCATGAACAGGTTAACTTATCTAAATGCAGCCCATTCTTTTTAATAGGTCTGTGTTTAAAAAGGCCTATAGATCAGTTAAAAAAAAAAAAAAAAACTGTTACAAAAATCTGCATTGCTGGTCAGAATGTTTACAGGCACACACCTCACACTCCCTTGATTAAAGAAAGTTAGAAGTTTTTTGTGTTTGTACGTGTACATGCGAATACGCACAAGTGCCATGCAGCCTATCCTTGCAGGGTTTTTTGTGCCAGGAATGCCCGATGTTCCGACACAGTACCGTGTGCAAGTACCGTTAGAGCCCTTTCGCACTGGTCAGTTTTTGATGCACTTTTGGGGTTTAAAAAGTAGGAAAAAAAAACCACATGAAAATGTATACTTTTAAATCCTATGGAACTCTTCGTACTGCAGGTGTGCTGAGCTTTGAAAAGTCCTGCATGCTGCATTCAAAAGCACCCTTAATTATAAGTCAATGGGACAGCATAAAAATGCATCAGTGTGAAAGGGCCCTTAAAGCTGAACAAAAGTGCATCAAGAACTGAACAGTGTGAAAGGGAACTTACTGTAAAGAAGTTTCTCCATAGGTAGTAGAAAAACCCCCTTTTTTCCCGTCACACATAGCGTCCCCTCCCCTTATCATCTGCTATGACCTTAGGGCCAGTTCACCCCAGAACACAGTGTGGGAAACCCACATTCTGTGCGAGTTTCCTGCACCACGTTCAAAACGCACTACATTTGTGATCTGCAGTGGTTGCCAGTGTTAACTTACTAACACCTCAAATGCAGGTAGCAAATGCTGTGCCTTTGTCTGCACAAGATTGCATGGTATAGTACCATGCAATCCAGTTTCTGTGCAGTTTTTAAAGTAAAGTGGTACCTCGGTTAATGAATGCCTTGGTTAACATAATTTTCAGTGTACGAATGAAGGTCCATTGAAAATAATGCCTTGATTTCCGAATATTTTACAAATTTTTTTCGCAATACGAAGTGTATGTTGGTGCTGATTTTTAAATGCAATTGCCAGCTTTTTTTTTTTTTCACTATAGTTCACAGGATTAGCTGTCACTTACCACGGAGTTAAAGGAAACTGTTTCTTTTAGGAAACTAAAAGGAAACATTGTTTCTTTTAACTTGGGGAAATAAACTAGAAGAAAACTCACTCTTTTAGCTGGGGCGAAAGTGACAGCTGAATATCTAAGCTATAGTGAAGAAAAAAAAAGCAGTAATTACATTTAAAAACCAGCACCATAATAAATAAAAAAAAACAGTGTGGGGTCCCCCCTCCAGTCTGGTATGGATTTTGAGGGGAACTCCCACACCAAAATTTAAAAAAAAAAAAAAAAATGGCATGGGGGTCCCCCTCAAAATCCATACCAGACCCTTATCCGAGCATACAGCCCGGCAGGTCAGGAAAGGGGGGGGTGGGGAGGGAATGAGCGAGCGCCCCCCCCCTCCTGAACCATACCAGGCCACATGCCATCAACATGGGGGGGTGCTATGGGGCAGGAAGGGAAGCCCAGGAATGGATTAATTGGTTTTCAACGCATTCCTATGGGAAACAGCGTTTTGGTTTACAAATTTTTCACTATACGAAAAGTCCTGCAGAACTAATTGAATTCGTAAAACGAGGTACTACTGTAGTGCATTTGCTACTTTTGATGCTATCCAGCACTGCACCTGGATTGCATGTGAATTGCACAGGAACACACAGTGCGTTTCTGTGCAATTCATGGTGTGAACCGGTTCTTAACCCCTTCACGCCAGCACCTCTAGGCCCTTTAAGAGTTTCAGAAGCCGTGAGGTGGGGCGGGGTTTAGGGTCATGTGACAGCGCGTCACAGCAGTCACATGATCGGGAAAAGATAGAAATAGGAGATCGGGACCTTTCTGTGAGTACCGGACATGTGTGCTGGGAGCGCGCAGGGCACGGGCTCTCGGCACATATGTCCTTTTTTAATAGAACGAAAATGTGCGGCCCCTCGGCGTCTAGGCCCAGATGCCGGGAGGCCGCACATTTGCGTTCGGCCAGCGTGAAGAGGTTAAAGTGAACAACTTTGCAAGTTTACTATATCATGATCACTTTGACTAGCAGTTTATTTGAACTGGAGATCTACACAGAGTTTTTTTTAAACTACATTTTACTTTAACACTTACGTGATGAGGATACACAATAAAAGGGACAGGATTACTATCTAATCTTGTGAATGAAGCAAACTGGCCTGATAGCAATGTGTCACTTTCTGTTTGTCTACTCACCTCAGTGGGTAAATCAGCTACTATTGGATCATCCATTTCACTGAAGAAAAAAACAAAATAAAATATAAATAAATACATATATATATCACACACACACATATCATCTTTCTTTCTGCTTTGTGTTAACCATATAATTTATAAAATCACAATGAGCAAAACAATATGATCTCAAAGCTCAGCTATCTAATAGTCTTATATACAATTTAAAGCATTACTTTGCTTCTACTTACAAAAGGCTATTTTTATTTTCACACCCCAAGGAAAAATTATTTTTAGTATGATTTAATAAATACTCAGCATTCTGTTCAAAATTTTTACTTTTCTGAAGCCTGAGGTCCTCTGAGATATTACTATGAGGAACAGGTTTTCTTAATGTACTCTCTAACTGGATGAAATTTAGTTTGCTAAAGCTTTGCACATCATAAACAACTGCTCTGCTTTCTTTCTTTTCATTCAATACTATTTTTTTCCTTCTCAGTACTGCTGATTTCCTCCAGTTTCTTTCAGCCACTTCCCATCTACATGTACTTGATCTGGTATCAGCTGCACATCATTTCTCTGGACTGTTTCCTAAAAGTGACAACTGTGGACCATAACTCTGCTTGCAGTCTCTAACAGGGGTGCAAGTAGAAGGGGGACAGTGCAGGAGCACAATGGGGAGGCAGTTGTCACTTTTCAGGATGTCAGGTCATCATTCTCAAGTATTCTTTCTATAATAACTGTAGATTTAAAGTGTTTCTAAAGGATGAAGGTTTTTCTACCTTCATGCATTTTATGCATGAAGGTAAAATCTCAATCCAGTGATGTGCAAGAGAACAGCGACTCCCCCGGGTCTCTCACTCCTCATTGGCTCAGACAAAGGCCAATGGCTCCCGCTGCTGTCAATCACAGCCAATGAGGAGGGAGAGGGGGCGGGGCAGGCTGAGCCTCACTCTGTGTCCCATAGACATACAGAGCCAGCTCGGGAACGAGCACACACTTGCTCCCAGAGCAAGCAACTTGCTATGGCAAGGGGGAGGGGCCAGAAGCACCAACAGGAACCTAAGAAGAGGAGGATCGGGGCTGCTCTGTGCAAAACCATTGAACAGAGCAGGTAAGTATTACAGTGTAAGAAGAATAGCCTAAGCTATTTTGGCTGTACTTCTCCTATGGGTAACAGGAGTGCAGTTTGTTCTGCACTGCTGTGACAAGTTGTTAGCTGACAGTGGGTTTTAGCTGATGTCACAGAGCTGGTGCAGGCTCTAAAAAGATCCCGACCATATGATTGGGATTCACCCAGAAGCCTGCACCAGCACCTTGCTCAGCATCCCAGCTTTCCGCCAAGAGCCTGAGCCAGCCCCTCCTGCCCCCTTCACAGCCCACCAGCAGAGCAGAGAGCCAGAGACTGACAGTCACTGCTCCCTGCTCAGTGCGGAGAGGGAGAACTGAGCAGTTCTCAGTGCAGAGTCGACAGATGCAGCATTGTATCAATTGTGCATCCATGTAGGTGAGTAAAGGTTTTTTTTCCCCATAGCCCATATTTCTCTTTTAAGTGACCGAGTTAAGATCTACTTTAAGCGGCATCTTCTTCCCCCCATTATCCAAAAACACTGCCAGAACCAAACATAAACCCAGTATTTCTGGGTATGGGAGAACATATAATATCCCCACACACGTTGCTAAAAAGCACTTTGCATTAGATACAATCACTTTTACTGCCTTTATAAAGTCAACAACCACAGAATAAAATATGAACTTGGATAAGTTAAAAAGGTACTTTCATTTCATGATGTAAAACAACATTTTAGTTACCATAATGTTAAAGGCCCACTCTGGGAGAAACACAGCTCTGGAATAGCAGTTCCCCACACCGGAACTGCTGGCGATAAGGGACCCAGATAGGGGATTTAGGTGAGTATTGTTGGCTTCAACAAGTAAGGTGAAAAAAAAGACTAGTAGCATAGGTTAGAGGAGGGTACGAAAGAGGGGTGGTAAAAAGCTAGTTTTTTTCCAACGTGGGGCTTTATTGACAACCTGGCACTATTTCCTTATTATGACTAAATTACATTGCTCTTCAGCTTTAGTGGCCATTGTCACTTACACAGTCCCATGTCGATTTTCTGAAAAGACTCTCAGGACAAAGTCTCCCTCAACATTGGGTTCAAAGGTGGAAGGCACTACTATGTATTCTCCGGGAGGAAGCTTGTGTCGGGTGCTAACTTCTCGCAGGTTAATGAACTGCTCGGAACGTGCACGAGATGCGTTGCCTAGGAAGAAGTCACGCTTGAGATGCACAGCTGACTGTCCTATGAACTAATGAAGCAGGGGATTAATTAGGTTACTTTGAGGATAGCAAATAAGGACAGTTAAAAAAAAATCTAGAATTTGGTAAAAAGTTAGGTTGGATGACAAATGGATATATTGCACTAGTAAACAATACACAAATACACAAATAAAAAGAAGAAAGAGTAAGCATTCAAACATAACAGAACTGGTTAGCAAACGCTATAGACTAAAAGAATGAAAACTGAGAAAGGGACATTTAAGAAGCAAGCAATTTAAGTGAAACTGCAGCGCAAACTATATAGTTTTGCATAGCAGAGATAGGTGAAAACCTTTACTGGCAGTGTCCTATTTGAGATTTTTTTTCTCATTTCTTGTCCCAGTGACCACTGATGCTGATACAGAAACTGATAGACAGTCTTCCAAACAGGGACATAGACAGCATCCCTTTTTGCACTCTGTGTCCCTACTTGAGATTACTATTTACTTCTGATCATGGGGACAACTATCACTAAGACAAGAAGTGGGGGGGGGCAATCTTTCCCAATGTGAAAAAAAAACTTATAATCTGTGTCTGTGTTACTTACCTAAACAAAATAATTCTAAATAAGCTTCTACAGTAAATGGGTGTGAAATAAAACATAACAAAAATTAAAAACTGCAGCAGTACAATAAAATCTCATATACTGTAAGAAAATAAAATATACACAATAACCAAATTATTGTTTAAAGCACACTATTTAAAATAGTGTGAAACAAAGCCTGGCCATTTAGATCTAAGCGGTACATTTTCTTTGTTTTTTTTTGCAGGCATCTGGGTTGTCAAGCATCAACATGTGTTTCCTTTTTGCTTTGACATGCATTATTGACACACATTGATGTGCATTTTAGATGCCTTTTTTAATTGGGATTTGATGTTAATAGAAGTCCCGGTATCACTGTAATAATACCAGCCCATACCAGAACCCCACCTCCACCTTGCTGGCATCTGAGTTGAAGTGGAGCTCTGTGTCTGTTACTGATCCAGTCACAGCCCATCCATCTGGTCTGTCAAGAGTTACTCTCATTTCATCAGTCCATAAAACATTTGAAAAATCGGTCATCAGATACTTCTTGGTCCAGTCTTGATGTTTCCGTTTATGTGTTTTGCTCAGTGGTGGTCGAGTTTCAGCCTTCTTTACTTTGGTCATATCTTTGAGCACTGAACACCTTGTACTTCTGGGGACTCCAGGTAGGTTGCAGTTCTGGAATAGGACAGCACTGGAGTATAATGGGTTCCTAGAAGCTTCAAGTTTGATTCTTCTCAAAACTTTGGCAAGTAATTTATGGCTTCTTTTCTTAACATGTTTCTTTGGACCCTGTTGACTATTTGCAACAGAACCTTTGATGGTTCTGTGATCACGCCCCAATATCTTAGCAATTTCAAAAGTGCTGCATCCCTTTGAAAGACTTTTTACAATTTTTGCCTTTTTTGGCTCATTTTGCCTGAGGAAAAGCAGCTGCCTAACAATTATGTACACCTTGAGGGTGTTGATCTCCTTAGGCCACACCCTCCCTCATTAAACAAATATACATCACCTGATATGCTTAAATCCAATAAGCATTCAAGTTTATACAGCTTGGAGCTGGACAATATGCATAAAAATTATGATTTGGTCAAAATACACACTTGCACACAGTGTATCTAACAATCCTAGCTGTGGACCTAAATTCACATGCAAAAACACCGGCAGAATGGTGGCGCCAGGCCTGCTAGAGATGCTAGATCACAACACCAGCTCTCCCAGCTGGGAAGATGGGAAATCTCACAATAAACTAGAGACTGACCTTAGAGCACTAATGTGCTTATTACCTACCAAAGCAGAATTCAAAGTCACCCTAGAGATCTTTGCAGCTCGTATGGAAGGTGCAGTTGAGCTTGCAAAGATCTGATGTTACCCAATTACATACTAGGCTAAGCACAGGAGTCCTCCATTTCAGCTTTGGAGGTTAGAATTGCATCACTGGAGGCAACACAGGCCACACAGGCCCAGAAAACTGAACTGTAAGTTTACAACTGGAGGCTGGTGAAAATCTCAACTGCCGTAATGTATGGATCGGGGAAATCCCTAAAGCTATGCATAGGTATAGATCTGAAGAAGATGGTTACGGCAATAATAAATATCTTGCAACATAAAGTAACAACTGATCTGATTGAATTGGATAGGGTCTACCGAGTTGTGGACTGTGAACACGCTGGACGAGCACAGAGATGTGCTGTGGCATATTAGTTTCTTCACAAAGAAATTATCATGAGACAAGCATGGCTCAAAGGTACTCTCAGTTTTGCTGGGGCTATAATGCAGTTGCTACCAAATAGACTGTACAGAAATGTAGGATTTTGTACCTACTCCTTGACCTGATACATTTGGTCAGAGCAACATACAACTAGGGCCATGTGTTTCACCAGCAAATCAGGAAGGATAGGACATTTTTCTTCCATTATCCCACTGAATTACCTAAGCTCTTCACATTCCTCGCCATGGAGCCTATAGTTTTACCTTACTGGCTATTGACCAAATGGTAACCCATGCCTCACACAGCACCCAGCAGGATCCTCAAAGATGGCACAGAGCTTGGTCCAGATGCCCAAATCGCTGTGACTCGTTGAGAGATCCAGGGCAAAAACAGAACTTTGACATGTTGAACTGAAAATTTTCCATACATTCTGGTCTTCTCTTATTGATGATAGGAGGAGTGGAGAACCTCCAACACTACATCCTTTCAGCTGCCACAGAACTTGGACCACTGTTCTTGTAAAAAGGAATGGATAAAAAAACATCCTTCAAGTTAACACACCCTCCTGTTTATATGTTCCCTGTCAGGGGACAGATATTATAGCTGCTTGTACAATATATAGTATACAAGGATACAAGAAGACGTTGAGATGTGGTACTCAGATCACCCACTTCTAGAAATCTTTGTGCTAGATTCTGAGGAAAAAGGGACATCAAGTACAGTTTATTGCAGAGGTAGTTTATTCTTCGGTTTCATTTGGAAGTTTTAGAACTGGTTCAGTATTGTTAGGATGCATGTTTATGTATTCTTTAGAACCTGGTCAGTGCCTGTTATAGGAGTCTTACTGTTCAGGTGATGACTTAAGGGACATTAAGGGTTATTGGATCCGGCGGCGTGACGTCACAGCGTACGACTCCTCCTTCCCAGGACCCTAGTGGAAGTGTGGCTACAGAGGAGGCTTGTGTCCAAAGGAGGGATCCTGGTTCCATGCTGCCTGGCAGATCCATGTAAAGGGGGTTCCTACAGATTCTTATTCAGCATATTGAGCATTAATCATGCGCATCTGGTGAGTGCGCATTTCTTACAGTCTTTCGCATGGATTAAGTCACATGGATTTATTGGATGTCACAAGTGCATTAGGACTTTTATGGAGCACTGTATGTTGACCTGATCTCGTCAAGCTTTCACTAATTTATGAACACTTTTTGTTAAAAGACTGCTCACAGTATCACATTTATTTTTTGCCGCCCAACTTAGCGCTTCATTCACTTATACTATATATCACTATTTAACTTTGATGAATTGATCAAGTAATATTATTGATTATATTAAACATTCATTTTATTTTTTAATTTTCATCTATTATTATAGTGCTGCACTGTTTTTCTATATTATATACAGTTGTGTTCAAAATAATAGCAGTCAGACATCACTAACCTGATCAATCACTGTTTTTGTTAGAAATGATATTTCTACATGGCAAATAATTTACTAGCAGGTGTAGTAGAGTAATAGAAATCCAACAGACCCAACAGTCATGACATGCATGCTGCCGATTCTGTGTAATTGAATCACTAATTGAAAGGGGCATGTTCAAAATAATAGCAGTGTGGAGTTCTATTAGTGAGGTCATTCATTCTTTGAAAAACAGGTGGCAATTATTGCCCTTATTTAAGAAAGGAAGGCAGCAAATGTTGTACATGCTGGTTACAGTGCATTTCTCTCTGAAATTCTGAGGAAAATGGGTCGTTCCAGACATTGTTCAGAAGAACAGCGTACCTTGATTAAAAAGTTGATTGGAGAGGGGAAAACATATAAAGAAGTGCAGAAAACGATAGGCTGCTCAGCTGAAATCATCGCAAATGCTTTAAAATGGCAACCAAAACCTGAAAGACGTGGAAGAAAGCGAAAAACTACCATTCGAATGGATAGAAGAATAGCCAAAATGGCAAGGATTCCGCCAACAATCAGCTCCCGGAAGATCAAAGAAGGTCCAAAGTTTCCTGTGAGTACTGTTACAATTAGAAGACGCCTATGTGAAGCCAAGCTATCTGCAAGAAGCCCCCGCAAAGTCCCACTGTTGAAAAAAAGACATGTGCTGAAGAGGTTACAATTTGCCAAAGAGCACACTGACTGGCCTAAAGAGAAATGGCGCAACATTTTGTGGACTGATGACAGTAAGATTGTTCTTTTTGAGTCTAGTAGCCGGAGACAGTTTGTCAGACGACCCCCAAACACTGAATTCAAGCCACAGTACACTATGAAGACAGTGAAGCATGGTTGCGCAAGCATCATGATATGGGGATGTTTCTCATACTATGGTGTTGGGCCTATTTATCGCATACCAGGAATCATGGATCAGTTTGAATACATCAGAATACTTGAAGAGGTCATGCTGCCTTATGCTGAAGAGGAAATGCCCTTGAAATGGGTGTTCCAACAAGACAACGACCCCAAACACACCAGTAAACGTGCAACATCTTGGCTCCAGACCAGCAAGATTGACGTTATGGAGTGGCCAGCCCAATCCCCGGATCTTAGTCAAATAGAAAACTTGTGGGGTGACATCAAAAATGCAGTTTCTGAGGCAAAACCAAGAAATAGAGAAGAACTGTGGAATGTAGTCCAATCATACTGGGCTGGAATGCCACAGGTGCCAGAAGTTGGTTGACTCCATGCAACACAGATGTACAGCAGTTCTCAGAAACAGTGCTTATACAACAAAATATTCATTAAGTGATTCAAAGGAAAGCAAAATCTTCAAACATTTTTCAGTTTATATAGTGAATGTTTGAGTTTGTAAAGAAGAATACAAACACTGCAATTTTTTTTGAACAGTCTAATATTCACTTTTCTTCATTTTTTTTAGAGGAACAACACAAATTTGATATATTTTTCTTCATGTTTTGATTTGGAATAGAATGTGTAGTGTTCCCAAAGAATTTGTGTGTATGGAAATAAAAGCTATTAGAAGGATTTTGAGCTTTATTCACTTTTTTCAACACACTGCTATTATTTTGAACACAACTGTATATGCATATAGATCAGTTCTTAGACAAATATAAAGACTTGCCTTTGGTTGCAAAGACCAATATCACATTCTCTGACTGTGCTCCAATCACAATCTGCCTCCAGATTCCTGATACCAATCTCAAACAAAGCAGTGGTGTCTGAAGGAAAGTGTATTACGAGATCCCACAGTGTATCAATGCCCAACTACACATAAAAACTGCTAGTTTGAGATTAACTCTGGACCTGATTGAAGCCCAAACCATATGCCAGGGTGATCCTGATAAAACACAGATCTCACCTTAAAATAAGGACAGCTCCAAAGCACAACTGCCACTCCAGAGAAGTAACACAAACAGACCCAAGATAAAGACATCACAGCTAAACTTACACAAGCAAGAAACCCTCTTACAGAACTTCTCTTAGGGAAGACTAAGGTCTCTCCAACTAAGTGCCCTCACATGTTATTCCTTTACTCTTCCCCTTTGCTTCTAGAGAATGCATCATCTTCATCACTTTCTAACCCCTATTCCCCACCAGAATGCAGTTCACTAATGTCAACACCGTTCAATGTGTAAGGGCTCGTTCACACTTGGCTGTTTTACCAATGCTTGCCAAACGCCCCTATAGCGTTTGGCAAGTGTTGGTCTGGCGTTTGCGGAGCGTTTTTTAATGCTCGGCAAACGCTCCGCAAACACCGCATGCGTGGTTTAGCAGCGGTTGCTAGGCGTTTGCCGAGCGTTAATAACGCCCCACAAACGCCTATAATGCAGTTTGAGTGGTGTTACCGCTCCGCAAATGCCCCGCAACCGCGTCGCAAACGCACCGCAAACGCCGGCCGAGCGTTTGCGGAGCGGCACCATAGACGAGAATAGGAGGCTTCAAAGCCTCCTGACTCGACCAGAGGCGTCCGTTTTGCCGCAACGCGACGCAAACGCTCCCGTTAGAACAGCACCATGTGCTGTAATGTGCCGAATTGGCAGAGGCGTTTGGGAAGCGGTAAAAACGCTTCCCAAACGCCTCTCTGACGCGTGCACACAACGCTAGTGTGAACGTAGCCTTATGGTCAAGGTCCAGTCAGACATACACTATATAGGCTCTACTCATTAATAGAGATGATTCACAACCTTTACAATTATTACAGAAAAGGTTAAAGTAACTACAACTGTCCTTTACACGAGGGGAGGAGGAGGAGAGGATTGTATATTTCACTCACAAAAAAAGCAACAAAACGCATACACTCAGGAAACAGGATATAAAGTCTTAACAAGATGGCACAGAATTCCCAGTGCTCTACACACTTTCTCTCCATCTCAACCCTCTACCTGTTGGTGTTGTGGAGATGGTAAATACACCATCCTACAAATTTTTTGGCCTTGTCATAAATTAGTAGAGTTCTGATGCAACGGTGGAAGAAATACGTAGCCCATACATTTATGGATTACCACGTTCCACATGGCCCTCTTCCTACTCCACCACAATGCTATACCAAAAAACTTCCTAATTACAACTCTAGTAATTATACCAGAGCTTGTAATCTGGCGAATTTATATAAGCAAGATCCCACTTCCTGTAGCAGTGGTTTGCACGACTAAAAAAATACTAAAACAATGGAGGACATATCCTCCACTGTGAAAGGAAAGGAAGTGGTTTCACTGGAATACATTCATATTCACAACAAAATATCTAGAGGATTTTGCCTTGAGTAAGTCAGACTCCCCTCCTTAATTCTAGCTGACCTCCGCAGTATTGTGATACTACAATACATTGGACATTGCTGGTCTAGGCATCCCTCTTTCTTTCCAGAGATTGCAATCTGACAAACTGATATAAGCAAGATCCCACCTCTTGTAGCAGTAGTTTGCAAGAATAAAAAAAAAAAAATACTAAAACAATGGAGTATTGTGACACTACAATACATTGGACATTGCCGGTCTAGGCATCCCTCTTCCTTTCTCCTTAACCTTACTACCCCCTTGTATCCTCCTCTCTGAACTCCCCCCTACCATACCTATCTATGTTTTGCCCACTTACCTTCTAATGTACATACCTAGATTAATGTTCCCCTGAAATCATCCTCCTTGCATTTCAATATTCACTTTCAATATTCCTCTAACTCCACCTAATATATATATATTTCCACCTCTATATAATATATATATATATATATATATATATATATATATATATATATATATATATATATATAGCATAACACTGATAGAAATTACAAACTTGACTGATGTCCCGCCCAGGCACTAATGGTGGCGTTTTTTTCCCCTGTCTGCTTTATAAAACTGAAAACTGAGACACTATTAAGGAAGTATTATATATAAAACCGTACTCCTGCCAAAACAGTTCCATTTTACTTAATTGCAAAGGAACAGCACATCCCAGAAAATTCACTGCTTGCACATGCGATTGGTTCACAAAATTTATCAAAAGCCTATATAGTGTTTGAAACAGAATCTTTGGTATGCCCAGTATTGTCCCTAGTTTTACTGCAGTAAAAATGTCATCTTTTTGGGGATATGCTGGCCATATGACTACAAGGGAAGCTGAGGATGCAGTACTTCTCTCTTTACCACAATTGGAGTAATCGTGTAATAAAGCAGACAGACACTCTCACTGTTTACTCACTTTCAGAAAGTAACTTCAAAACCTGACTTAGTATCCACAAAACAGAAGATAAGATTCTGTAACTAAGCTTGACAAACTCTTTGCAATTTATTAAAAAAACTGAAGATTTATTTCTCTCAACAAAAGTGGATGGAATTTCACTTCAAAAAGCCTTTTTCATTTCCGGTGCTTTTGACAGCCTATGTGAACAAGACAAACTATGCGGTAAAACACAGACAAGTTTCTATGCTTTCCTCACTGTCCAAAACTAAAACAATAGTAACTGGAAAAGCTTCAGTAAACATGAAAAGTAAGGAAAGTGAGAGTAGCCAGAAGAGTGGTAGATCAGCAATATTAGGAGAACACAGGACACAACAAGTTAATTATTAGATGCTCATTTGATCCAGTATAAATACAACAACTTATCTTCTACATCAGTTTCATGTACATTCGATTGCATACCTCCCTGGGGACCTGTGGGAAAAAAACAGATAAGCAAATTATGAATACACTCCATTATCTGTTATGTATTTTTTTATATATATAGAACACTAAAGCCTAATACACACAATCAGAAAATCATACGAAAAATAGTACTTTTGAAGCGATTGTACGATAATCTGATTGTCAGTACACAGCTTTTGTCCAAAATTATTAGAAGACAAATACAAAAATGTTTCTCGTACAACACCAGATTGTATGATGTTTGTTTAACCAGCACAGTTTCTGTCCAAAAATACAATACAAATAAATTACAGCACTTTGGAATTTTTTGTTGTACAAGAATATTCGTAATCTTTGTTACTTTAGTAGCCTCTTCACTTTTGATATGAGACTAGCACACATAAAAAAAAAAAAAAAGGATGATCATTCATCTGATTTTCTCATCATGTGTACGGGGATTTAAGGGGCCTAGCCAGAGATATCACTCTACTGGTGAAATATTGGGGAAATCATGATAACTGTCTCTGAATTCATGGAAACCCCATCAACTCTAATTAATTTTTAAAAGAGATTTGAACAAAATATGTAAGATGCCATCTGAGAGTGCTAGTTGCCTGTGGCCTAATTATCTTTAAGTTGTCACGAGCCAGGCCCTCCTAACCCGCTTGCATTAAATTGTATTGTAACGTTACCGTCTCTTTTTTTTATAAAGATCTGTGCAAACTGTTGGCACAATATAAATTCTGTATAATATTAAAAATTACAACTTAAGGCATAGACCAAAACAGGAGTGTTTTACATGAAGTCAGAACTCCTCATCTGCATATTTATTCCAGATCATTAATGCAAAGTATTGGAGCCGTTTGATCAACACGACAGCCAGGCAACTAACATTTTCAGAAAGAAGGTCAGAAATGGCAGCCAATATATGTCTTTCAGCACAAGTTTCCCTAAGCAAAGAAAGCTTTGCTACATTTATTCCTCCTGCTTGCAACAATTATTCTGAATATATGGTCTGAACATTTACACATTTACAGTATTTTAAAAAGTTCAGAACTACAGTATCTATATTTTCTCTTGCTTGTTTTTATTGGTGAATTCATCCTAATTTTTGTACATACATGTCACACCAAATATCCAAAATAAAACTGAACACTGCCATACCTCATAGACGGCAAAACCGATTGTCTCCATGTCCTTCCCAAAATCTTCTCTCTTTTCTTCGGTGTTTCTGCATGAGGGCAAGGAGGAAGGTGCAGCCTTTTTCATTGCCATAGTCATCATCTTCATCCTCATAATCCAGCTTTATTTTGAACTGTGGGTTAATCCAGAACGTAGCTATGAAGGAGAAGAAGAAGCATAATAAAAAAAGGAGGGGAGTAATTTAGCTAGACAGTCATTTATAAGTCAGTTGTTTTCCATGGTCTTCTGGGTCGTTTGGTGTTGCTGAGCTCACCGGTGCGTTCCTTCTTTTTAAGAATGTTCCAAACAGTTGTTTTGGCCACGCCTAATGTTTTTGCTATCTCTCTGATGGGTTTGTTTTGTTTTTTCAGCCTAATGATGGCTTGCTTCACTGATAGTGACAGCTCTTTGGATCTCATCTTGAGAGTTGACAGCAACAGATTCCAAATGCAAATAGCACACTTGAAATGAACTCTGGACCTTTTATCTGCGCATTGTAATTGGGATAATGAGGGAATAACACACACCTGGCCATGGAACAGCTGAGAAGCCAATTGTCCCATTACTTTTGTCCCTTGAAAACAAGTGGGAGGCACACATGCAAACTGTTTGTAATTCCTACAACCGTTCACCTGATTTGGATGTAAATACCCTCAAATTAAAGCTGACAGCCTGCAGTTAAAGCACATCTTGTTCGTTTCATTTCAAATCCATTGTGGTGTATAGAGCCAAAAATGTTAGAATTGTGTCGATGTCCCAATATTTATGGACCTGTCTGTATGTATGTATGTATGTATGTATGTATATATAATATGTATATATATATATATATATATATATATATATATATATATATATATACATACACACACACACACACACATACATATACATATACAGTCATGGCCAAAATTGTTGGCACCCTTGATATTTCTCCAGGAAATCATGTATTTCTCACGAAACGTATTGCATTAAACACATGTTTTTGCTATACACATGTTTATTCCCTTTGTGTGTATTGGGACAAAACAAAAAAAGGGAGGAAAGAAAGCAAATTCGACATAATGTCACACAAACCTCCAAAAAATGGGCTGGACAAAAGTATTGGCACCCTTTCACAACTGCGGATAAATAAGAATGTTACAAGCATGTGATGCTCCTGTAAACTCACCTGGGGCAAGTAACAGGTGTGGGCAATATAGAAATCACACCTGAAAGCAGATAAAAAGGAGAGACGTTCACAAAAAACCTTTGCATTGTGTGTCTGTCTGTGCCACACTAAGCATGGACAACAGAAAGAGGAGACGAGAACTGTCTGAGGACCTGAGAACCAAAAATTGTGGCAAAATATCAACAATCTCAAGTTACAAGTCCATCTCCAGAGAACTAGATCAAAGCCTTTGTCCACAGTGCGCAACATTAATCAAGAAGTTTGCAACCCATGGCACTGTAGCTAATCTCCCTGGTCGTGGACGGATGAGAAAAAAATTGATGAAAGATTGCAACGCAGAATAGTCCGGATGGTGGATAAGCAGCCCCAAACATGTTCCAAAGACATTCAAGCTGTCCTGCAGGCTCAGGGAGCATCAGTGTCAGCGCGAACTATCCGTCGACATTTAAATGAAATGAAACGCTAATGGCAGGAGACCCAGGAGGACCCCATGCTGACACAGAGACATATATAAAAAAGCAAGACCTACAGTTTGCCAAAATGTACTTGAGTAAGCCAAAAGCCTTCTGGGAAAACGTCGTTTGTGGACAGATGAGACCAAGATAGAGCTTTTCGGTAAAGCACATCATTCTAACTGTTTACCGAAAACGGAATGAGGCCTACAAAGAACAAAACACAGTACCTACGGTAAAATATGGTGGAGGTTCAATGATGTTTTTGGGGTGTTTTGCTGGCCTCTGGCACTGGGTGCCTGGGATGACTGTGTGCAAGGCATCATGAAATCTGAGGATTACCAAAGGATTTTGGGTCGCACTGTAGGGCCCAGTGTCAGAAAGCTGGGTTTGCGTCCAAGAATCCTGGGTGCTTCCAGCAGTTGTGGGGACAATGACCCCAAACATACGTCAAAAAGCACTCAGAAATGGATTGGCAAAAGAAGCGCTGGAGAGTTCTGAAGTGGCCAGCAATGAAGCCCAGATCTAAATCCCATTGAACACCTGTGGAGAGATCTTAAAATTGCTGTTGGGGAAAAGGTTTCCTTCCAATAAGAGAGACCTGGAGCTGTTTGCAAAGAAGAGTGGTCCAAAATTCCGGGTGAGAGGTGTCAGAAGCTTATTGATGGTTATAGGAAGCGACTGATTTCAGTTATGTTTTCCAAAGGGTGTGCAACCAAATATTAAGTTAAGGGTGCCAATACTTTTGTCCAGCCCATTTTTGGGGGTTTTGTGTGACATTATGTCATATTTGCTTTTCTGCCTCTGTTTTATATTTGTTCCAATACATACCAAAGGGAATAAACATGTGTATAGCAAAACATGTGTTAATAAGCAATACCTTTTTTGTGTGAAATACTTGATTTTCAGGAAAAATATCAAGGGGTGCCACAATTTCGGCCATGACTGTATATACACACAATTATATTACAGAAGTATTGGGGCACCCCTCCAAATTATTGGATTCAGGTGTTTCAATCACCTCCATGGCCACAGGTGTATAAAATCAAGCACCTAGGCATGCAGACTACTTCTACAAACATTTGTGCAAAAAAAACGGGCCGCTCTCGGGAGCTCAGTGAAAATTCAAGCGTGGTACCGTGATAGGTTGCCACCTGTGCAATAAGTTCATCCGTCAAATTTCTTTGCTACTAAATATTCCACGGTCAACTGTTAATAGTATTATAACAAAGTGGAAGCAACTGGGGGAACAACAGCAACTCAGCCACAAAGTGTTAGGACACATAAAATAACGCCAACAGAGCAGGGTCAGATCATGCTGAAGCGCACAGTGCGCAGAAGTTAGCCAACTGTCTGCAGAGTCAATAGCTAAAGACCTCCAAACTTCGGGTGGCTTCAGTTTGCACAACAACAGTGTGTAGAGAGCTTCATGGAATGGCTTTCCATGGCCGAGCAGCTGCATCCAAGCCTTACATCACCAAGTGCAATACAAAGCGTTGGATGCAGTGGTGTAAAGCATGCCACCACTGGACTCTAGAGCAGTGGAGACATTTTCTCTGGAGTGATGAATCACGCTTCTCTGTCTGGTAATCCGATAGACATGTCTGAGTTTGGCGGTTCCCAGGAGAATAGTACTTGCCTAACTGCATTGTGCCAAGTGTAAAGTTTGGTGATGGGGGGGATTATGGTTTGGGGTTGTTTTTCAGGGGCTGGGCTTAGCCCCTTAGTTCCAGTGAAGGGAACTCTTAAAGCGTCAGCATACCAAGACATTTTGGACAATTTCATGCTCCCAACTTTGGGGATAGCCCCTTCCTGTTCCAACATGACTGCGCACCAGTGCACAAAGCAAGGTCCTTTAAAGACATGGATGAGCAAGTCTGGGGTGGAGGAACTTGACTGGCCTGCACAGAGCCCTGACCTCAACCCGATTGAACACCTTTGGGATGAGACCGCGAGCCAGGCCTTCTCATCCGATATCAGTGCCTGACCTCACAAATGCGCCTTCTGGAAGAATGGTCAAACATTCCCATAGACATACTCCTAAACTTTGTGGACAGCCTTCCCAGAAGAGTTGATGCTGTTGTAGCTGCAAAGGATGGGCCAATCAATATTGTACCCTACGGACTAAGACTAGGGATGCCATTAAAGTTCATGTGCGTGTAATGGCAGGCACCCCAATACTTTTAGCAATATAGTGTGTATGTATGTATATATATATATATATATATATACACACACATATACATATATAAACATACACACACACACACACATACATACACACATATACACACACATTTATTACACACATACATACACACAAAAAGATCACCTTTTTTATTTTTTACCCTTTCTGTATTGAAATCAGTAAAAAGATTTCTATACATTAGACATTCACTGGGCACTTTGTTAGGTACACCCATTCAATTGCTTGGTAACACAAATTGCTTATCAGCCAATCACATGGCAGCAACTCAAGGCATGTAGGCATGGTAAAGTCGACTTGCTGAAGTTCAAATCGAGCATCATAATGGGGAAGAAATGGGATTAAGTGACTTTGAACATGGCAGGGTTGTTGGTGCCAGACGGCTGGTCTGAGTATTTCAGAAACTTCTGATCTACTGGGATTTTCACACACAACCATCTCTAGGCTTCACAGAGAATGGTCCGAAAAAAAAAAAAAAAATATTGAGTGAGTTGTGTGGACAAAAATGCCTTGTTGATATCAAATGTCAGAGGAGAATAGGCAGACTGGTTCGAGATGATAGAAAGGCAACAGTAACTCAAATAACCACTCGTTACAACCAAGGTATGCAGAATACCATCTGTGAACGCACAACATTTCAAACCTTGAAGGAGATGGGCTACAGCAGCAGATCACACCGAGTACCAAGGTATACCTAATAAAGTGGCTGGTGAGTGTATATATAATTTTATAAAATTATTGTTTTCTTAGAAGATAACTATACTGCCCATACCCCTACCTTTAACCCTGATCCAGCGATCTTCACTGTGTAAAACTGGTCAAAACTGCACAGCATTACAGAAAATTCATACTGCCTTAAGAAGTCGTCCATATTACAGTTTTCCCATAGAAATACATGGGGCAGGAATGTTCATGTGCAGTATGCACTGGCCCTTTTGGAGATCACACAATGAAGATAGCTGGATCTTGTATTTTCAACAGAGGACTTTCAATAAAATGTTCAAAGTTCTAAGAAGTAGAAGCTAATGTAATAAAATTACCTGGATAGTTTCTACAACCACCAGCTGTGCTCCCTTTTCTCCAGTTTCCATGATAAAATGTTGTGTTCCATTTGCGAATTTTGCGGGCTTTCAAGGCATCTGGTGTGAGATTGCAAATTTCTAGACGCGAAAATTCCCGAAGAAATTCTTGAAATGACATCCTAAAAGAAAAAAATAAATCACACCAGGAATATATCAGTGAAAATGTTTGCAGAAAATTAGGTTTTGATTTGTAAATTATGTAATCTGTCCAGAAATTATAACTAAGTACTTAAAGTGGAATTTTACCTGTAACAACATGATAAAAAATAATGTTATTTAGTAAGGAACATACATTCCACATTAATAATTATGATACCAAAAATATTGTGTGCTGTACATTGCCTCCAGAATAGCTCCTATTTCTTCTTGCTGGAGCCTGCCATTTTACTGAAGCCCAGAGCTCTTGAGCAGCAGTAATATTTACGCTGTCAGCAGATCGGCCTTCTCAAATTCGGCACAGTGCCTAAAAATAAAAAGCAACTGAGCATATGCAGAGCAGGGTGAGACAATGTATTACTGAATTTTAAACAGTATAGGTAATTATTTTTAATGTTTTACATCACTATACCTGCAAAAACGGCAAGCATGAAGTGATCTAGCAGGGCTACATTTTCTGACTAAAATTCCACTTCACATAAAAAAAAAAAAACACATTTGAACAGGGGAATACAGGGGCTGCCATCATGGATCTCCTTTTGAAAATGCTAGTTGACTGCTTTACCTGTTGACCCTTTGCCTTTTACACTTTCTAAGTCACAGATTTGGAATAGGTATGCAGATACCATGCATGCATGCTCAGGTTTGGTGGCTCAGAAAGTATTACAAGTCAAGGACAGCCAGGAACTAACATTTTCTGACAAAGGTCAGCAACTGTACCCCCACATTTCTCAGTGGTGGGTCTCCTTTATTGCGGCAAAAGAACTGCTCATTTGTGACACACATTGATTACAGTGGAACTAAAGCCACAAGATTTTTTTTTGCTGTTTTGAATAGAGTAGGGAAGGGTTGGAACCTTTGAATAATATTTACTATTGTGTTCCCACAGGTGATTTCTCTTACACAGGAATAGTATTGGAGAATAAATCTTCCCAAGACAACAATAAAACAATGACAGAGGTTCTGACCCTTTCCACTTTACCAAGAACCATTCAAAAACATTTTGGCTGGAGTTACATTTTAATCTACAGTAATTTTCTGGTTAGTATGCACCAGTAGTTTAATGGAGATTGTTTGCTGGTAACCTGCCAATAATGTTATCCTCAGACAGCAAATTTGTCACCCTTTACTGACAATACTGCTGTCTACAGAGCAGCATATTTTGAATAACCCCATACTTTGAAAGAATGAGAGCAGAAAAAGACCAAGTGGTCCACAGCATCTGCCCTTTCGTATTTACCATTTGGGTTTGTTTTTGCTGTTTTTTTTTTTGCGTATAAAACCTATGTTTTAAACACTTTTGGTATAATAATACTTCCCAAGGTTGTATACATTGGATGATAACAAGTCAGACAAGAATCAGCTGGAAATTTAGATTCAGCCATATTGTGTACATACCATAGCTACCTTAGAAATTTGTATATATTGGCCACTTATGGCAGAACTATTTTATCTTTGTCTTAACAGTGATTTGTGATAATGGATAAATCAAAAGTGTCACCTGCAATTCTTAACGTACCTCGAATCATAAATATCTGTAAGGGCCACAGCTTAATTCAACATCATTTTGCTGTAACGATAGTATAGGAGCACTCACCAAAATTCACCATCTTCCATTTGTAGTCTGAGATCTCTCTCTGATGGATCCACATAATTCCACTCATTTGAACTAGAAAGATACACATTTGCATTTATACTAATTAGCATATATATATTTTTGAGACAAAGTCAATATATCAATACAATAATAGTCATAAGTAGCATGACAGCTGCGAAATTCTGATATGTACCTATCACTCCAGGCACCAGTCCATTCAACTTCACCCCAGGGATTCCTCATTCGAACTAATTTAGTACTTTGGCCTCTGAAATTAACCTTAAACAAAAAAAAAAAAAAAATTCCAAAATGCAATCAAGCTGCAAGATTTACATGCCAAGGGTGAAACGGTTTAAAATGTTTCCACAAATCAAACAATGGTAACACAATATCAGCATAGCCAGGAAATCCTGCTTAATTTGGAAATATGGGGATGACAATTGAGGGGATTGACTGAATTTCTCCCCTGATATACAGAAGTTGTTTATTTACTCAACTTCTTTCGATGGAACATGTTAGAAATGTTTCAGATTATCAGTGGCTGCAGCCAATCAACTGCAGCCACTGACAGGTGCCACTGTCAGAATACACTGGTCAGTGGCTGCAGTTGATTGGCTGCAGGTGCCGCTGTCAGAATATATCCTGGCCAAGCAGATTCCTCCTTTTGCCTTGTTTGTAAGGATGAAGGAATTTGTTAACTCTTCTTCATTCAGCCTGTTGGCTGAACAAAAAAGCGAACCATGAATAGCCAGCCTAACAATCCATATACCTGCCCTTCATCAATTACGTTTGCAGCCTTTATCAGCCTCATTCTGAGCATAGGAATTCTGATTCTTATAGCCCAATACCTGGAGACTCCATGTTTCTGTGCCTCTGCTCTTGGTTGCCTGTCTGTGACCTTGATCTTTAACCATGATTTGCCTGCTGTCCCTCTACCAAGCTTTTATGTTTTGACATCTTGTACCTTGTTCTGGACCCCTGCTGCCAATCCCAGCTCATTCCAGGTTCATTTTCATCACATCCCTGCTACCATGCCCTCTACTGCTATCATTGGACTGCTGATGTATAAAACAAGCAATCATCTTCTCAAGCTCCATATGCCATATGGGTAAATTCCAACATCTGGGCTTACCACCGCTGCTCTGATAAGTCCTACTAATTTCAGATCATTTTAACTCACTAGCCAGGCAAATTTAAGGCTTCCTATTAACAGGCAGATAAGTTTCTAGTTCAATGGGTGGTGAGATATCTGTCAATCTTTGAGCTTTTCACCACAGTGTGTTCTCCCTGTCTTGATGGTGGTTAAAATTGCACATGTGGTAACAAGCTTTTGTTCCTGTCCTCAAAAGATAATAAAAAGATCAATGCTGAAGGGATTTTGCGTGCAACTCTGTGTTCAATAATGAGCACTTACTTATAGAAGGAAATACTTCAATTATTTCCCCCTTTGCAAGTCCTTCCCTACTCGACATGTGACCAGCAATGCTAGGCTCAGCCTAGTTTGTGTCATTCATGACCATTCTAAGTGTATAGAAAAGAAACATTCAATACCCAATACATAAAATATCTATGGTTTATAATGTATGTTCACAAATGTCTGTGGCCATTTTTACATTGCAATTAACAAAACAAAAGCATTCTACAAAACACAGGGCTATGCCATACAGTAGAAGTGTCAAAAAATTTGCAAAAATCAGTACTAGGTACCATCATTATTCTACACAAAATTTGACAGCGGCCAGCTCTTTTTGCCAGTAAAACTGGAAGAAATTTGTATTTAATGTAAGGTAAAAACAGTCTTTGTTGTGTGAGCTTCCAAAAATAATTAACATTTTCCTTTTTAGTGCTGTGCCATGGAATGTTGTAAGAAGAGTTAGATATCACCCAGGGTATGTAAGTTGAGGGACCCCAGGATGTCTGTTCTGATTGTAGAAAATGGGTTTTGCAGTTTTCACCAGGACTAGTAACTTCTGGATTGGGTTCTAAAGTCCAGAGGCTTTGTAAAGACTTAGAAGGGATTAATTTTCTAATCCTGTGTCCATGTTTTGCTGGAAACCAGCATTCTGATTACACAGGTGTGCACAGCCCTTTTATTCAAGGAGCTGCCTATACTTTAGGACTTTTTTCCATAGAGACAAGGTGCTGTGGAAGCAGCATGTGTGAAAAGACACTAGGAGAGCGGTATTAAAGTGTTACTTAACCCAGGACCTTGCATTCACTATATCTGGTCTCCCACAGTACACAGAACAAGGAAATGCAAAATATTTTAGTAAATATAAACTGCTAAATACCTTTTCTCATCAACAGTTAGAGCAGTCTTATGACCTATCAGTGTCCAGCTGAGCACTGGTTAAAGCTTGTAGGAGGAGTTTTCATTCTGCTCTAGGAGGTTGCAAAACCCCTAACCTCTGTCTGGACAGTGCTGTTTGGCCCTGATCACATGCACTCTCCCAAGAAAAGGGGAGAAAAAAACCTCTGTAGCAATACACACCAAGCTAAGCATGTGCAGAGTGAATCCACACAGTATGTCTTAGCAGGAGATAAGAGGTGGGCACTGGAAGAAGGGGGGGGGGGGGGAAATCAGAGAATGAGGATTAACCCCTTAGGTTCTACAGGGAGTATAACAAGCATGCTTTACTGCATATACAGACTGATTTTACTGTTGTGGGTTTAGTAACACTTTAAGAGACTGTGGGGTTGATTTACTAACTGCAAATAGACTGTGCAGTTGTACTCCCCTGCAAGTGTAGTTGCTCCACAACTGAGTGAATGAGGAAAAGATTCACTTTGCAAAGAATGCCCAATCACGTGCAAGGAAAATAGAAAAAAAAAAACTGCATTTTTGCTTGCACATGATTGGATGAAGGAAGTCAGCAAAGTGTCTGCTCATTTATGAAGCTCTGGAGCAGCTGCACTTACAGAGTGCAACTGCACTTTGTAAAGTGCATAGTTTATTTGCCTTTAGTAAATCAACCCGTGTGTCATCAGGCAGGAGCCTGTGCAATCCAGGCTGGGCAGTTTGCCACAAGACTGAATGACTTGACGTGGTGAGACAGGCTCAAGGACTATGCAGTCTGGATAAATAGAAGGCGGTAAAAGTTACATTTGTCATTTTGATGGTGAAAGCCCCTGTGAGAGTAACCCTCTGTGTGAGTTTTTGAGCTTTGCTTTTGAAGAAAACTGGGCAAAAATCTCTGAAACATATTTCACTGGCTGGGCTAAAGTTCCTGAAAGGCGCTGCAGATGAGTGAACCCCCACAGTGCACAAATGTGAGAAACCCAAACTTGCAAAAGGCAGCTCAAAAATGCTCAGGTCTATGGGCAGTACAGTGGCTAAGTGGTAAGCACTCTTTTACCTTAGATTCAAATCCTACCTAGGACACTACCTGCTTAAAAATATATACTCGGAGATAATCCTAACTGCAGCAAATGAGGAGCAGCCCCTAGTGATCTCACACATTTGCAATGGAGATGCCCAAATTAAAACATTACTGGGACTCTATGATCACTCAGCTCATGGTATACTTATCAGTAACATGCATCTTCTCCACCCCCCTTTACACTAAGAAAGTGGTTCACTAAAGTCCATGAAGTTGGACTTAAAAAAAAAACTCAAGAACAAAAACTCTGTAAGAACAGAGGGGAACACTTTGTAAATTCTTTGAGGTCTGGGATGAGGCAGGATGTTCAAAATAGACACTGTAACTATGCCAATATCTTTACTGTATTTGTGATTGCTTATTAAAACTAATATTGTACACAAGTGGGCATTTTTGTTATTCCTTAATGCTTCTCTCATGTATATGTGCCTACAATGTACACTTGTATACATGCTGTTTAGTTGTCGGTCTCTGTATAAAAGAAAAAAAAAAGCTTTTTAAAAAATAAAATCCGATTGTAAAAAATATGTTCATCTGTATTTCCTTCCACAATCTGAAACCATACTGGAAGATCAGCTAGTTTCCCCTTAAAATTGGGTTGTGTGTTATTATGCAGTAAGGACTTATCACAAAGTCCTTTGAGAAGAAGAGACTGATGGGAATGCTCTATGTATTCTGTAAACAGGAGGGTAATATGAACTATAGAAATATGGGAAATATAATTTTATATATGTACACCAAACTTAGCCTCAACATCAGGTTTTTAACACAATTTTATGGTGTACAATAACTCATGGGCTATAGTTATGCAGAAAGTTGCAATTTTAAAGGCCATTGAAGTAACAGAAATAGATATACTATTGCCAGATAGCATTTGACCTAACAACTGCACTTTAAGTTAAATAACTTCTAGCCTTACCTGTACTGTAACATAGTCAACCCCCCAACCCCTCCCGATGTGAGGACACTGGAGCCGAGGTGTGGGGCTGGTTCTCAGACTTGCCAGTATAAAGTACTGCAGTATGAGGGCTGGAAACCACATATTCATGGACATTTTAGGCCATTTCCTAGAAAAAATCATCTACAGTAGCATGCTGGGGTACATAATTATAAAGTGATAAAAGGTGTAAGACTGCAAATGGACAATTTATTTTGTATTTAATGTATACCTGTCAATAGAGAAATATATTTGTTACCATTATTTATGTCTCCTTCTAAAAATGCTAGTTGTCTGGCTTTCATGCTGATGCTTTACTTTCAATGCTTGCGGAGTCACTATCTCAGACGATAAGGAACTTGTTTGCATATTTGTGTGGGGTCTGTGCATCATGTTGAAGTCAAAGTGCCAGACAACTCATACAAAGGCCACCAAAGCAGCCTACATACAGTATTTCTCTCTTGACAAATGCTCTTTGAGCTGTACATTTATTTATACAGAGCTATAGGCCCAAACTACAATAGGAAGTATTCTGAAGACACACAGAAAAAAATGGAAGACGAAGTTGTTTCTAGTAGCAATAAGTACTTTAAACTGCATCACCACTTTAGTGCTAGGTATACCTCTTTGGCTCCAGTGAGTGAGTATGCATGACCTTTGACCAATTTTTTGAAGGTTACAGCTTCCATATCTGCTACACCACTGATCTAAAAAAGAAAACAAAGATAGATAATAGAGGTAGAATAAAACTGTTAAACAAAGAAAATGACTATAAGTGAACTAAACTGATGTAGTAAAACATGGTGTTGAGTAGAGTTGGCCACATGGGTCTCAAATTTCGGCCAGTTCCCTGCTAAATCAGCAGAAATTCAAGCTGTGGTTGTCCCTGTCTGCACTATTTACCGTGACAAAACAGGACTGAAAATTTCAATGAGTGGGGTGGAAAATTGTGAGCTGAGAAGTGACTGCATCCTAACAGTTATTGTTCAGGTGTTTGCTGTGGCTGCTTGAAAAACAAGCCATGCAGAAAACCAAAGGAACCAATCAGATTTAATTTTGGATAGGTTTTTCAGTCATCAAAATAATAAAGGATGGTTGCTATAGCTTACTGCACATTTGTTTTATAAATCAATGATTAAACAGGGAAGCAGAACATATCATGAGGAAGTTGCTAAAGAAACCTAGACTTTATGATGACACTATTGCAATTTGTAGCAAAGATCATAATGATTCACTTACATCAATGGAGCAGCCCATGAGGGATCCCCTCTCCAAAGCCTTTGAGATGATCGTGAACAGGTCAGCTGGTGGTTTTTTCAGCTCATACCACTCAGTTACTCCTCCAGTAAAGTCTTCAAAGCCCTCAGAAGTGCTCCCACCTGAGAGAGCCTCATAACATCCATTAGCTCTACAAAGATACACAGGTAAAGGTAGGTCAACAAAGGCTTTTTATGTCAGAGTCTCATATCTTCAAAAGTAAACATTTTTGTAAGGGTAAAATTCTAGTATGAAAAATAAAAAGTGGCTCATACTTGGCATAGGCTTTTTCCAGCAGTGCACTCCAGAATTCGTTACCAGAGGCTGAATGTACAAAGACCAGCTTCCCATCTTTAACTGGAAGGTAATCGTCAATTACGACATCCACCCACTCGCCATACTGCCAGAGCTTTAAAAACAGAATGCACTGTGATTATAATGAAGCAAGCTTTATATACCTTCCCTAAGGGCATTTCATATGCAGATGTAATAATGAGAAAGATCATGTGGTGTCACTGTCAGCATGAACAATGGTTTTGTAAACAGAGCCTAGATGATTTATTTCTGAAAAAGTTTAAATAACTTTGTTTTTAAAGAAGGCAACACAGAAATGTAGCAGATATTCCTGTATCTGTATGGATACATTCCACAGTTAAATAAAAAGAAGGGAATATACAGAAGAGAAATGTTACTATTTTGTTGTTCAGACCCCAAGGATAAGTATAAAGGACAAAGTTGTAATGTACTGAAAAGTTTGGATGTCCTCGGAATAACTGGTTGTGGTCTCTATGGGGTAAGAAATGCAGGGAAAAGCAAGAAGATAGTTCTGCAGTCATCGGTGTAAGTTGGGTAGATAGGGGAAGAGTAGGATATAAAGGCAGTACAGGTATAGACAGGGAGTTATATAGAGAAAGGCTCCCGCTATGGCTCTGGAGAATGAACAGAAAGTCAGGTCACAAGAGAGATATTACAGAAGCTGTATGGATTGCTTAAATGCTATCCATCCCAAGTATGGAGGGACAGTTCTGTGTAGGCATTATCTTACATCACTAAAGTTGGCCATTGATGGATTTTTTTATTTTTTTATTTTTGCAATCAGCCAACGGGCTCATAAAAAAACAAAGAGATTTCCCCATCCACATAAGAAAGGTGGATGAAGGAATCCTCCCTGCTTTGTTAACGTATTATGACAACAGTGATTCCTCCACTGTCAGAATACACTGATCAGTGCAATAGCCGACTGCCTGCAGGTGCTGATCAAACACAAATTTTCCAATAGTCCCATTAGACATAAGTCGATCATTAGACAGATTTCTCCCCAATGGGAACGGACATAGATGAATCAAAATATGGCCAGTCCCAGCTGAAACGGACAAATTCCAATCCATCTATGGCCAACTGAACTGTTCCATTTGCATTATATGGCCTAGCTGTATGACCTATTCAGCAAAGGTGGGTGCAGATTTGGATTTCCAATGTCAAGGAATTACTGATCTGACTGGTGTAAAAGACTGTTTGTAGGGTGGTTTTTTTTTTTTTTTTTGTGTGGAGCTGATGGAAATTGGGAGCATAAAGAGCTGCATATTGGTAGGAGTGTTAGGAATTAAAATGCCTGTTGGTATATGAGGGATTAACCTGTACCATAATAGTACTAAATACATACAGCTGCTGATCCCTTTCTTTTCCCCTAGTTATACTTTTATTTATAACTACATACTCTTGCGTTTCCTTGAGAGTATTTAACCATTTGCTGCCCGGCCTATAGCCGTTTGGCAGCCGCAAAAAATGCATTAGCTTTCCGGGGTGTACGCCATTTGGCGTCCTCCCGCACATGCACAGTTCGCGCGGTTGCAGAGCCGCGCAGCGGCGCGATCTATCACCGGCCGTGTACCTCGGACACAGCCAATGACAGATCTGAGTACCGGCCCCTGTTGCTGGTACCATGTGACTTGCTGTGACCAATCACAGCAGGTCACATGACAGTTGTATACAATGGATGGCTTCATTCATGCCATCCATTGTATACTAGTGTCTAGCTGTGAATGGTCACAGCAGGTCACATGCACATGTCATGTGATTAGCTGTGGCCAAATCACAGCTAAGCACAAAAAAAAAAAACCTTAATGAATCGATGTCATTCAGGTAAATGCTTGCTTATAGCAAAGTAATTCTTTGCTATAAGCAAATTGTGTAAAAAAAAAAACAAATACTGATCACTTCCCCAAAGTAGTACAATGTTACTATGGTAACATTGTACTACTTTGGTCATAGTAAAATATGAAAAAAAATCTTAAAAAAAATAAAAAAAAAATAAAAAAAATAAAAATATACATATACCAGTCAGTGTCCCTGTTCACCGCCATGCCAGTTATATGATGATGTTGTACTGCACTGGTGACAATGTGTAAAAAAAAAAAAAATAGTGAAAATAATTTTTTTAATTTTTTCATTTTCCAAAACGGTCTACTGTCTACTTTACAAAAATGGGTCATTTGGGGGATATCTGTACTGTTCTGACATTCTTGGACCTCAAGAAATTAGATTGGCTGTCAGTACTTCAGGACTGATCAATTTTCAAATCTATACCATAGTTTGTGAACTCTATAACTTTCCTACAAACTAAATAATACATCCTAATTTGGGTTATTTTCACCAAAGTCATGTAGCAGAATACATCTCAGCCTAAATTTATGAAGAACAATTATTTATTTGTAAACTTTTATAACAGAAACAAAGAAAAACGTGTTTTTTTGTTAATTTAGCAAAAAATAAAAACCCTGGCAGTGATTAAATACCACCAAAAGAAAGCTCTAGTTGTGTGAAGAAAATTATAACATTTTAGTTTGGGTACAATGTTGTATGACCGCGCAATTGTCATCCAAAGTGTGAGAGCGCTGAAACCTGAAAAAATGGCCTGGGCAGGAAGGTGTAAAATTGCCCGGTATTGAATTGGTAAAAAAAAAAAAAAAAAAAAAAAAAAAAAAAAAAAAAAGCAGAGCCATACATATTACCCATCACAAAAGTATTAGTACTAATTTCTACCGTCATCACCATGAACAGAAGCAGCTTATGTACGTTCATAACCCGTTTAATTTGGTTGATATGATCTGCTACTCCGGGCCCTACACAATTAGGTACCATTCCTTTTTGCATACTGCTTGTTTCTTGACTTTCTATAAGGAATTTCCTTTATTCACTTTCTAACTGGCTTTGGCATTTCTTTTGATCAAATATGTCTTTATGCAAATAATTATCTTCTGCATAATAAATAGAATTCATATTCACAAAACTTATTGAAACATATTTGTTCAAACACCACTAGATGAAAAACTGAAAGAGCAAATAAGGGTAACGTACTATGTAAATGTATACAAGCAGATACATACAGTATATCAAAGGAAAAAAAAAAAGACCATTTGGATCCGATGTATAGGACACTGAGCTGTCAATAAGGATCTAGTGAATTTATTTTACCCTCTAGCAGTTCTCACTCTAAGCCAAGCAGTTCCCACCCAAAAGACTGATTCATCACGGCATTCATTCCACCATGTGACTCTCCAAAAGAGAAAGGCATCTGTATAAATAGTTCCTGTACTGAAATCTCTGCCCTCTCTGACAAGTGCCTATCACTTCCACAGCACTGTGTATTTCTGTTTGTGGGTTCCCACATACAGAACTTTCCTGTGAGCATTAACAATGACTGGGTGGGGTAACTATAAGCAGACATTACTACCAGGTCCAGTTTACTAGATCAGTTAAACATAGGTAGGGGAGGGTTGGGTCCTGAATGCAAATAGTTGACATCTTCACCTAGATAATTCTGTTACCAAAACATATTCCCATCTGTAAAGCTATTCTGACCTCTAATGCACACCTACAGCTGCAGGTCAGGAGGAAGGGTGGTGCCATACTAAATATCAGAATTGTATGCTTTTGTTTTAAAGCAAAATTTTGCTCTGCAAATTTACTTACACTGCCTCCCTCTGCCCCCACCTCCTAAATAATACTACCTTTTTTTGCTACTGGGCTATTTCTTACGAGTTTTGTTTTTTCTTTCCCAGTGCCCCTGCCCCCACCACCATTCTGACCTTTCCTCTTTAATATGTATGATTTATGTATTTCCCATGAAAACATTAAGTAGTAAGGGTGCATATGCATCTGGTTTGGTGGTATGTTCACAGCATGAAAAGTACCCTGCTCAGTATCCCCACCAAACACACACAAACCTAAACAGTGTAAATGTACAACAGATAGCAAGCCTACTAAAAAGAATTGAAAATATAATGGCCGGCTTGGCTATACAGCTCTAACTGATTAAACTGCATTGGGTGTGGCATTCTGGAAGCCAAAAACATCCAAATTATGTTATTTGCCACATTATAATACTAGTAGATGTAATTGGCCACCCATTCTGTGGTGGTCAAGGTCATTTACATGTTTAGCATTTTTGATGAATTTTCACAACTGGGCAAAAGGCGTGAGACATACTGGTGTATTGCTGTTTTTTTACGTGCATACAATGTGAATGGTCTCAGTATATCTGAACATTTTCATTCTATAGAAATATCTATGTATTATGTACCCAAGGTATCCTAAACAATTTATTAGAAGGTTTATTAGGATTATTTTTTATCAATTTAATTGTCGGGATACACACAAAAACAGAGCAGAGCAATGGTCATAGACCAATTTAAAAGCTAACATTACATGCCCCTTACCTAAAACTCATTGGGGGAGATTTACTAAAACTGGAGCACCCAGAATCTGGTGTAGCTGTGCGTGGCAGCCAATCAGCTTCTAACTTCAGCTTGTTCAATTATGCTTTGACAATAAAATGTGGAAGCTGATTGGTTTCTATGCAGAGCTGAACCAGATTTTGCACCATGCAGTTTTAGTATATAATCCCCATTATGAACTGAAGGACGACACATGCGGAGACCAGTAGGAACGCTTCTAGTGAGTCATAACAATGGCTGTCACTTCACGTTGCACAGATATTAAATTGGAAGGCCAGTACCTGGAAATGGAACACTCCTGCATAGTTCTGCTGGAAGCTCTGACCATGAGGAACCACTCGATGGAGAAGAGTATCATTCAATGTAAGAGATGCTATAGCAGCAAGGAGCCAACAGTCACCTGGGTAGAAGAACAAAGAAAATATATAACAATCTGCACAATAATAAGATTTTCATTGTAACCCTGCATTCACAGATAGAGTAGAGCATATTCCTGATATTTTTGCACCATTTTTGCAGGTCTTTTACAGGCAATTTCTAAGCCTTTTTACACGCATCAAGCTTCGCATTTGTTTCCCATGCTGGGTAAGGGGAGGAGAGCAATTCTTTTGGACAAGATGAGTTCCCAAGCTTAAAAATGTGAATGAAAAACACGTTTATTACAGGCACTCCCATTGGAGTCTATGGGGTCAAAAATGCCTGAATATGGTCCAAAAAATGCTTGAGTGTAGGGCATACAGCCTAGGGCAATTGAGCGTACAAGTGTGAAAAGGTGCAATTGGAAAGGATTACATTGGTTTAACCTATTAAGTGGATGTGTGATGTCTGTGGTTTTCATCTCTACTTTGAACTGTCTAATGATGCAGTGGAGAGACATCATCATAGGTGGTTTTCCTTTGAGTTTGTACTACTGCTTCTTAAATAGTTATCCAGTTCTTTGTAATGTTATGCACACTTTCTTGCTATCCACCTTAAATTAATATTATATATATACACACTATATTGCCAGAAGCATTGGGACACCCCTCCAAATCAATGGATTCAGGTGTTCCAATCACCTCCAAGGCCACAGGTGTATAAAATCAAGCACCTAGGCATGCAGACTGCTTCTCCAAACATCTCTGAAAGAATGGGTCGCTCTCAGGAGCTCAGTGAATTCAAGCGTGGTACCGTGATAGGTTGCCACCTGTGCAATAAGTTCATCCGTGAAATTTCCTTGCTACTAAATATTCCATGGCCAACTGTTAGTGGTATTATAACAAAGGGAACAACAACAACTCAGCCATGAAGTGATAGGCCACTTGAAAATGACAGAGTGGGGTCAGCATATGCTGAAGGGCACAGTACGCAGAAGTCGCCAACTGTCTGCAGAATCAATAGCTAAAGACCTCCAAACTTTGTGTGGCCTTCAGATTAGTACAACAACAGTGCTTAGAGAGCTTCACGGAATGGGTTTTCCATGGCAGGGCAGCTACATGCAAGCCTTACATCACCAAGTGCAATGCAAAGCATTGGATGCAGTGGTGTAAAGCACGCTGCCACTGGACTCTAGAGCAGTGGAGACGTGTTCTCTGGAGTGATGAATCATGCTTCTCTGTCTGGCAATCCGATGAACGTGTCTGGGTTTGGCGGTTGCCAGGAGAACTTTACTTGCCTGACTGCATTGTGCCAAGTGTAAAGTTTCGTGGAGGAGGGATTATGGTGTGGGGTTGTTTTTCAGGGGTTGGGCTTAGCCCCTTAGTTCCAGTGAAGGGAACTCTTAAGGGGTCAGCATACCAAAACATTTTGGACAATTTTATGCTCCCAACTTTGTGGGAACAGTTTGGGGATGGCCCCTTCCTGTTCCAACATGACTGCGCACCAGTGCACAAAGCAAGGTCCATAAAGACATGGATGAGAGAGTTTGGGGTGGAGGAACTCGACTGGCCTGCACAGAGTTCTGACTTCAATCCGCTAGAACACCTTTGGGATGAACTAGAGAGGAGATTACGAGCCAGGCTCTCTCATCCAACATTAGTGCCTGGCCTCACAAATGTGCTTCTGGAAGAATGGTCAAACATTCCCATAGACAGACACACTCCTAAACCTTGTGGACAGCCTGCCCTGAAGAGTTGAAGCTGTTATAGCTGCAAAGGGTGGGCCAACTCAATATTGAACCCTATGGAGTAAGACTGGGATGCAATTAAAGTTCATGTGCGTGTAAAGGCAGGTGTAGCAATACTTTTGGCAAGTGTGTGTGTACAAACACAAACACACACACAGCTCAAAAAACATAAAGGAGCACTTTGAAAACACATCAGATCTCAATGGGAGAAAATATCGTGCTGGATATCTATACTGATATGGACTGGGTAATGTATTAGGAAGTATGCTCCGTCGTTTGATGGAAATGAAAATTATCAACCTACAGAGGACCTAATTCAAAGACACCCCAAAAATCAAAGTGAAAAATGATGTAGCAGGCTAGTCCATTTTGCTGAAATTAAATTGCAGCACCTCAAAATGGTACTCAATAGTTTGTATGTCCCCCACATGCTTGTATGCATGCCTGACAACATCGGGGCATGCTCCTAATGAAACGACAGATGGTGTCCTGGGGTATTTCCTCTCAGATCTGGACCAGGGCATCACTGTGCTCCTGGACAGTCTGAGGTGCAACCTGATGACGTCAGATGGACAGAAACATCATATCCCAGAGGTGTTCTATTGGATTTAGGTCAGGCGAGCACAGGGGCCATTCAATGGTATCAATTCCTTCATCCTCCAGGAACTGCCTGCATACTTTTGCCACATGAGGCCAGGTATTGTTGTGCACCAGGAGAAACCCAGGACTCACTGCATCAGTTTAGGGTCTGACAATGGGTCCAAAGATTTCAACCCGATACCCAATGGCAGTCAGGGTGCCATTTCTAGCCTGTAGAGGTCTGTGCGTACCTCTATGGATATGCCTCCCCAGACCATCAATGACCCACCACCAAGACGGTCATGCTGAATGATGTTACAGGCAGCATAACGTTCTCCAGACCCTTTCATGTCTGTCACATGTGCTTAGGGTGAACCTGCTCTCATCTGTGAAAAGCACAGGGCACCAGTGGTGGACCTGCCAATTCTGGTGTTTAATGGCAAATGCCTATGGAGCTCTATGGTGCCGGGCAGTAAGCACAGGGCCCTCTAGAGGACGTCGGGCCCTCAGGCCACCCTCATGAAGTCTGTTTCTGATTGTTTGGTCAGAGACATTCACACTAGTGGCCTGCTGGAGGTCATTTTGTAGGGCTCTGGGAGGACTCATCCTTATCCTTGCGAGCAGATACCGGTCCTGTTGATGGGTTAAGGACCTTCTACGGCCCTGTCCAGCTCTTCTAGAGTAACTGCCTGCCTCCTGGATTCTCCTCCATGCTCTTGAGACTATGCTGGGAGACACAGCAAACCTTCTGGCAATGGCACATATTGATGTGCCATCCTGGTAGAGTTGACTGGCTTGTGCAAGGTCTGTAGGGTCCAGATATTGCCTCATGCTACCAGTATTGACACTGACCCTAACCAAATGCAAAACTAGTGAAAAACAGTCAGAAAAGAGTAGAGAAAAAAAAATGGCAGTGGCCTCCACCTGTAAAACCATTCCTGTTTTGGGGGGTTGTCTCATTGTTGCCTATCTAGTGCACCTGTTGTAAATTTTATTAACACCAAAGCAGCTGAAACTCATTAACAACCCCCTCTGCTACTTAACTGACCAGATCAATATCCCAGTTTAATTAACTTGATGCTATACTCTGATTAAAAAGTGTTCCTTGAATTTTTTTGAGCAGTATGTATGTATGCCGTTCCTTCAGAGTGCATGCGCCAGTGCTCTACACCTGTCGAAAGTGGAGCTCCAGTCTGCAGCCAAACTTCCTCTAGCTGTGCTGGGAACTGTGTGCTCTCCTCCAATGATCAGACTTATGCTGACACGTTCCCCCACCCCAGCCATTCACTGGGAAGACCAATGTACTCCTGTTTCTCCACCCTCGCCTCTCTATGCAGCTGAGAACAGAGGCTATGTAATCACTTATAAAAAGGGGGAAATTTACTTAAGTTTTTTTTATATCTATTATTGCATGTCTTCCTGGTTTTTCTTCAAATTAAGTTAAAGAACCTTTGAAGCTGTTAATATTCTCCTATAGAACCCTCTAGCGTGACTTTATCTTGTATTGCATGTGTTGTAAACCATCTTTACAACTTAGGAAAAGTTACAAGGCTACCATTTATATTATTTAACTCAGGTTATGGTATTGAACCTAAACACTGAGAAAATTACCGCCCAAACCTTGTGAAGAATACTGCTAAATATAATATAACATTTATAGTAGAAGAGGAATATAGAGAATATGAAAGCAAAAAAACAAAAAAAAAGCACTCCATACAAATGTCTTGCATATCATTCAGGAAGATTTGTCCTAACTAAATATATATTTTTATTTAATTTTGATGACTTTGCAAATTACATTATTTTACAAATTAAATGGACTAAGCATGCTGGGCTTCGAGACTCAAGCTAATACGATGTATTTTTGCCACATCATATTTGATTATTTTGTATACAGTTTGTTAAATATTACCTCAAATAGTCACCTGTACAGTGGTAAATCTTTCTCAGCGGTTTAATGTTGAGGACTTCTGATATATGCTCAGTTAGCCTAAAGGCTTCTTAAGATATGAGATGTGTGAAACTGGCCTATCAGGAGGAAATGACAGTGACTGGAACCGGTTTAAAGTGATTGTAAAGGGAAAATAATATACACTCACTGGCCACTTTATTAGGTACACCTGCTGCTCAGTTACTTGGTAACAAAAGTCGCTAATCAGCCAATCATATGGCAAACAACTCAATACATTTAGACATCTAGATGTGGTGAAGATGATTTGCTGAAGTTCAAACCGAGCATCATAATGGGGAAGAAAGGGGATTTAAGTGACTTTGAACGTGGCATGGTTGTTGGTGCCAGACGGGCTGGTCTGAGTATTTCAAAAACTGGGATTTTCTTTTCCAATAATATTTATTGAAAATAGATATTTCATGACAGTGTGGTACAAGGCAAAAAAAATAAATAAAATAAACGTCATATAGCCACTACATATCAATAACCGGCAGGACGGGATCCTTCCCCCCGCTCCTCAGAATGCAGCAGGTCAATGCCAGGGAGATGACAACCAGAACTAATTGCGCCCTAAGGAGTAGGGTGATTTCCACTAATGCTACAGAAAGGTCCCCCCCCACGCCTGAATAATAGGCATCAATATCACCGAACATTCACTAGATACACATTGTATATAATGGAACAGATGAACATAAAGGAAAGGTAAGCTATAACTAAACAACCTCAAGAAATTCCCAGCTACCAACTATAGTCACATTGGGTTGGG